TTACTAAAACCTTACAGGGTACTCTTGTAACTGTCAACCTACATTCTGCTCTGATTAATGAATCTACGTGCAATCAAGACTTTGTCTGAAACCATACATCAGGATATTGTGTACACATGAGTGGTGAGAGATTTGATGCAGGACCTGCTCAGGGAAGTAAGTTCCACGCTGGACAGCTTGGTTGAAAGTCGTATTTCCCCGTACTTGGTACCACTGGACCTGCTCAAAGTTAGCTTGACAGCTGCTACCCCTCTACTGTGCACCTTTCACAAATCCACCTAGCGTACAGCCTAGGTAGAGCAATTCCCGTTCACATTGATGCAGAAAATTAGAACTCGGTTTCCTGTTACATGTTCCCATAATTGTGACACCTCACATCTATAGGTTTAAGTCGATGCTGAACTTTGGTATTTGAAAGGACGGTAGGCATTTCCACTTTGAACTAGAAACCTGACACTCCATCACCTCAACCTCGAACAGCATGACTCAGAGATTGAGATCATGGACGCTTTCCAGGGTTATAACTTTGCCTTCGATTTAGAAATTGACCAACAATTACTGATTGAAGGAACCAAATTTGTTAAGTTCACACAAACCCCGCGTGAACTTACTTTGACGATACATTGACACAGATTATACGACTTTAATCTGCACATTGGTCGCCCTGGGGATGGGATGGCTCATCATGGCCGTGATTGCTTATTCCGCCTACAGGCGTGTTAAGAAACTCCAAGATAAGATGCACTTGCTCACCTACGGTGTGCCTCGTAACCGCGTTCGGGGAGACTCCAAGCGTGAATGTACCACACCTGTCTAAAGGGGGTGAGCAACATTTTCTTTGTTATTCTGTAAACCTAAGAGTAGTTCTCATTTTAGTCTACCTCACATATTTATCTGAGTGTTGCAGTATGTCACATTCTTTATAAGCTACACACTGACTGTATGACCTAAGAATGTATTTTATGAGACCTCAAGGTTGCTATGAATTTTCTTGGATGTTATATGTTTTTTTTTGGGTTTTCTGTATTTTTGTTTCTTACTTGGTCACATATTAACTAGTGGTTATGTGCCGGCCCAGCTCAGTCTGTCAATGACTCTGTCTGACGCACCAGCACATTGTAGTACCTCTTAGTTTATGGTCCTTGTTTTAGCCCAAAGACTGTCCTGATCCACCCTTTGGACCAAAAAGGGGGGAATCTTGGGACCACATAGGTCAATGCGCGTTTGCGAACTATGGACCTCGTACATCACCGCGTGATCCATAAACTGAACTGTATGGCCGGCGGTGAGATGCCTTTGTGTCCACTCGTGGAGTTAACCGCCCACCGACCTTCCTCCTTCTACACTACTACCTCTCGCATGGACGACATCATCATTGCGTACCACCTGCGTGAGTGGCTTCTTCTCGTTATGCGCGTTGGGGACTATCCCGTTTCCTATCCTCTTTGTGCCTGACAAAGACAAAGACCAAAGGCGCCAGGATCCAAGACAAAGACCAAAGACAAAGGCGTCCAAGGAGACCAACGTCCTAAGGGACAAACTCACCTGTGCTTCCGACAATCAAGTCGACCTACGTTCATGAGGAACAAACCCATCTGTGCTTCCGACGATCGAGCTTTGGGCGCGATCCCCGAAACCAAAAGGGGGAATGTTGAGGGTCTGACCTCATGAGGAAATTACTATGCAGTGATTTTCTCCAAAATGACTGTGCTTAAATTGCTCTGAAAAGCAAATAACCACATCAGCGCCAAGAAACTTCATTTCCCATGATGCTTTGCACACGGAAGCATTGGGATGATGTCACCGCCTAGTACCAGAAACACGTTCTGCGCATGTGCGGGAAGCCGTGGAGCTTTCCCCGCGAACTAAGACCATAAATCTTCAGCAGAGACAAAGAAACCTCGTTCTTTTGCCCAGGATACCTGGCGGTGAGGACACGCTTGTCGAACGCTCCGACTTCTTTGAGCACGCGGAAGCTCTAAGAGCCAAGTTGAGCCCACGGGACCGCTGATCTGCTCGTTTCTGCTCCCCTCCAGCTGATGTTTGAGGACACAGAACTGCGGAGGGAAACAACAACTCCATCCAGCTCTCAGAAACGCTGTAAGTTGTCAAACTCAGCCCAAAAGGAACTTCGTTTTCTTTGTGTCCAGCCGTGGAGAAACACTCGTGGAGCCAAACAACGGAGAAAGCATCAAACCGGCGGATGACGCTGAAAGCTGCGGAGAAACACGGAGAACCGTCAAATCAAAACAGTGAGGGACGCTTCACTGTTCTGGTGATCAGAAACTCATCTCTTTCTCTCATTCTTTCCTTCTCCCGTTTCCTCTATAGTCTCGAATAAGCAATAAACCGCGTCTATTGCTTAAAAAGTAGCTTCGTGTTTTCCTCTTTCGTCCCAAACACGTCCGTCGGGTCATTTTGAAGAATAAACTGCTTATTAATCATTGTTTGGTATCTTTAAATGTTCGGCCATGGCCAGGCTGATAAACTAAGGATATTAACTCGTGATTAATCTTTTGTGTTGTTGCATGATCCTTTGAAATGTTTTGAGTGATTTAAGGTTAAGTTACTACTGATTCTAAGTGCTTTGGAAGTTAAAGTGCAAGTTGCCACCCACACTTTAGCCAGACAAAGGAGTCAGCCATCTTGTATTCAAGACTCCATTTTGAATCCATACACACGCACACACACTACTCCTTTGTGAGAACAAAGGACCCCATTCCTACATCCTACATACACACAAAACACCTTGAACATTATTTTGAATATACATCCTTTTATTATATCACATGGTTATTATTCATTTATGCCACTGTTTATTCATTTGACAAATTGTTAATTAAACGTTATAAAATTCAGATTTTCGTCTCCAGTAGCTTTGTTGTGTCGAAGAGAAGTCTCTGCTCCAAGGATTCTACGAACTTCAAGAAAGACTGATAAGAGTTTTGGATTCAATTTTTCCCCGGAAAAAGGGGAATGGTGCCCCGTATATCTAAGAATATCTTAATTAATTAATAAATCAGTAAATATTTACATATTTACAGAATTTATTGAAGAATCCAAAAGTAAGTTAACGCTTGCGAATTGTTCGCTCCTAATAACCCCAACACCATATTTTGCCGGTTTTGAGGGCATGTACTGCTTGAAGTTGCAGCGACCTCTGAATCCGACGAGCTGTTCATCAACGCAGACATCTTCACCGGGGTTGTAGGCGAGAGGGAGCCGGGCCGCCCAGAGGTCCCACACTTCCCGCAGGGGAGCGAGCTTGTCCTGCTGCACCAACCGGCGGGCTGCCCTGGTCAAGCGGTCATCAAAGCGCAATGTTGCAGTCAGCATGTGGAACCTTCCCAAACTCATCGTGGCTCTGAATATCGGCCTCCCCGTTTCCTCCCCCCAGAGGCTGGCAGATGATTCCCCACGGGAACGGTGCACACCAGCGAGGATGAGCAACCCAAACAATGCCCGGAGTTCCACGCGGTCAACGTCTGTCCAATCGTCATATTTTCTTCTTCCCTCTATATTGGTGTATTTTATTATTACATCTAGGATTGTTGTAGTTAAAAAAAAATCGAAGCTGTCCTCAATAGTTTGGATGTAGCTGACAGCGAGGCGGGTGATCCCACAATGGCGGACGTCTGGAGCCCGAAAGGGGATCCTGGTGTCGGGTGTCGGGACCAGGCGATCCCGCTCTTTGATTGCCACAAAGGATGGTCCCATCTCTCCTCTGCAGCAACCACCTCCTCATCTGAACCTTCTTCCATTTCTTCCCCTGAATCAGGCCCTGGGGTAAAGGCCTGATCTTCAGCCTCTTCATCCGAACAAGAGCTGTCATCCGTGGATGAGGATGAGGCTGACTCTCCCTCTTCCTCAAGCTGCTGAAACACCTCCAGGGCTTCATTCACATTGAATCTTCTTCTCATGGTTGCGGTTCAAAGAAATGAATCCTGATCTGAGTCTCATATATGTACTTTTAGTCAATTGGTGCACCTGTGTAAGCTGCCCCTACTGAATGTAAACAAAATTCGATTCTGCAGGAATTTGTTTTGAAAAACAAATGTATGCCTTTGAAGTTTTTCAGCCTTCATCTTAGCTTTCATCCATGCAAATGCTTTGTACTAGTTATTGAAATAACATTTTGCAAAAGTAAAATTGTGAATGAGTATCTGAAATTTAGCAGAAAATCCTTTGATTTTTGATATATAGCATGCCTTTGATGAATATTCATGAAGTCAACAGAGTGTGAGAACCTGTGCCCCCCCCCCCCCCTACACTCCTATTGCCCACACCTGCTCAACCACTCCAGATAATGATCACAGATCTGTCCTTTGAAGATCTGTAAAGTGCTTTGATACCTACATACACGCATGCCTGAACAATCACACACAAAGGAACACATGTCAAAATGCTATTTTGCAGAATAAGCTAATTTTGTACATTCAGTCAGGCTTATTTTTTGAAAGAACACTGAAAAAGCACAATTACCAAAAATTCAGAACACACACATGCAAACTATTGTATGGCATCTCTAAATAACACACAAACCATTTTTTTGCAAAATATGTATTATAATGGGCAGTCAGAGGTAAAGAAATACAGCTAAATCATTCAGTTTAAATGCTGGGTCAGCCATTGCCCTGCTATATATGGAGAAAGTATGCCATGTAGTGAAAAACAGTAAAAACTGCTTCTTACATTTGTGATGAGACTGTAAACACGGGCACAATCATAATTTTTTAAAATTATGCCAATATTTATGCTAATTAAAAATATATGATTTACATGAAAGTCAATGGCACAAAAAAATGCTTCAATGTGCTTAACTGTACAAAATGATTTCCACGTTTTAATAAAGTAGGTTGAATATTTTTTCAAACTTTTTTTTGTAATTCCTTCCAAAATACACATCCTCCATAAAAATTAGATAAATTGCATTAACATAGCCAAAGTTATTCACAAAAATACACGTGTCAGCACAAAAAAATGCTCTAATGTGAGGTAAGGGTTAAATACATGAGGAGCTGGGAGCTTGGGTGATTGGAAAACGAGAGGCAGGTGGGAGTAATCAGGAGACGCAGGACTGAACAGAGTGGGGAGACAGGACAGGTGTGACAGATAGCTCTTAGCAAATCTTATTTTTCTCCCTAAATACTTTAATTTCTCTCATCTGCAGTTCAACCACAGGCTGTTGCTAATTATCCTTCAGTTGCAAATGATCTGTTGAACAGTCCGAGTATTTCAAATCATCACTGCAAATGGAAATGCTCACCAAGTCGGCCAGTAAATGGATCATCCTCATTTGCATCACAATTTATTTCAAACACTTTTTGATAAAAACTAATCAGTTTTGGATTTTAGAAGCACACATGAAGAATTCATGGATGACCATTTATTTGTTTATAGAAAGGCAAGGCAGCTTTATTTATATAGCACATTTCAATGTGCTTTACAATTAGCACGAAAAGGCACGACAATAAACAGAAGAACACAAACTAAGAAGAAGAAGAAAATATCATTTCTATAGCGCCTCTCAAGATAAAAATCACGAGGCGTTTAACAAAAACAAAAACAAAAAATATAAAAATTGTAAAAATAGAAAAAAAGCATTTTGAAAATGTTTAAAAATATATTTAAAATGAGCAAGAATAAGCAATTGCAATTTAAAAGAAAAAATGTTAAGAAAGAGAGAGAGTGAACAGGAAAGAGGGAAATCAGTGGATCCTGAGGAAGGTGGAATAGGTGGGGAGAGCAGAATAAAGAGAGAGAGGTGAAGAAGGTCATACAAAAGCCAGCTTGAACAAGTGAGTCTTCAGCTGCTTTTTGAAGGAGACCACTGAGTCCACTGATCTCAGGCTCAGGGGGAGAGAGTTCCAGAGTCTGGGGGCCACAGCAGCAGATGATCTGTCACCTTTGGTCTTTAGCCTGGTGCCGCACAACCAGTAGGCTTTGAACTAAGCATATACACAGAAAAAATTATAACTCAGAGCTAAAAGGATAAGACAGAATTAAGGCTGAGCAATTACATCACAGATTACAGTTGAGATGATGCATCATAAGAAACAGTTCATTCAAAGGTTGATGAGTACATTAGGGTTTTAAGTTTTGACTTAAACAACACTAGCATTGGGGCAGATCTGAGGTCCTGGGGAAGCTGATTCCATAAGTGAGCAGCATATTAGCTAAAAGCATCTTCACCCTGTTTGGTTCTGACCCAAGGTTCTACCAGCTGATTGTTACCTAATGATCTCAGAGCCCTATTACTGGGATGAGATCTGAAATGTATTTTGGCCCCACGCCGTTGAGTGATTTATAAACTAGTAGGATCACTTTGAAATCTATTCTGTGGTTTACTGGTAACCAGTGTAGAGATCTAAGAACAGGAGTGATGTGCTCCATTCTCTTAGCTCTTGTTAAGACTCTAGCAGCAGCATTCTGAACAAGCTGCAGTTGCTTCACAGCATTTTTGGGAAGACCAGTTAGGAGGCCATTGCAATAGTCCAGCCGACAAGAAATAAAAGCATGAATGAGTTTCTCTAAGTCTGGTCTGGACATGAGACCTCTGACTCTTGCTATTTGATGAAGGTGAAAAAAAAAGCTGATTTAGTTATAGCCTTAATATGTCCAGTGAAGCTCAGGTCTGCTTTAACAAAACAACAAAACAGGCGATTCCATCCACAAGTTGGAAATGATGAAAACAAAAGTGAGACGTTCGGTTTTCCAGTTCAGTTTCATTTATAAAGCACCTTCCACAACCTTTTCCAAAGCCCAAGGTGCTGAAAATCATCATAAAAGACACGTTAATAACAAAACACAAGATCATAAAACAGTAAAAAGCAACAGAGAAAAGCAATCGCAAAAACAGATGAGGACAATCTGATAGAAACAAGAGAACATATTAACAAACTCCACATCGCGATGTTGATGGACGTTATTCTGTCTTTAATAACAATAGGTGTATTTAGGGTTGTCACGGTATGAAAATTTAACCTCACGGTTATTGTGACCAAAATTATCACGGTTTTCGGTATTATCGCGGTATTTTTTAAACGGTGTTGCATATGTTCAGAAAGCATTGATAGTCCTGTTCTACACAAACTGAAATAGTTCTGAAAAGGTTTAACAGTGTTTATTAAACCTAAAATAACACAAAGCCTTAGCAAAAGTGCAACTTTTCACAAGTAAAGGAACAAATAGCTTATTTTTCTGGAACATGTTACAGTAGTCAGTGCAGGTTTAAATTATACAAATCCAAACATTCAAAACATAAACAATATGTAAACAAATCAAAGAAACACCACTTGTTTTCTCATATACTTGTTTTCTTCATTATCAAAATGAAAATCTAAAACTCCAGTCCACACTTGACTTGAGCACTGTACAAGTCAACCTTAAAAAATATGTATTTAAAATAAATAGCCACTTTAAACAAATTACTAAAATAACTACTACACTATGTAATCAAATCCAAATGTTCAAGTATAAATGGCATTGAATAAGTAAACAAATCAATAACAAGGAACTAATTGTATATTTCTCTTCATCATCAACAAATAAGATGCTTCATCCAGCAACAGGGTGTCCGTGACACGGTTTAAATGCTGGCAGAGGACGCTGCGGCTGCAGTATATAGTGACTCGTTGCATTCTCCCTCAACCATAAGTCCTCACGTCATGCATTTAAGCTAAAACGCTAATGTTAACTTACCTTGCACTGGCTGTAGAGACGTGGGTGATGGTCACGCAGATGTGCCATCAGATTCGAAGTGTTGCTGCCTTCTGCAGACACTTGTTTCCTGCACGTTCTGCAAACGGGATAGCCGTCTTCTATTAACTGTCCCTCAGCGTTTTTCAGAAATCCAAAATATGCCCATACTTCCGATTTAGTCTTCTTTGAGGGCTGATGGATGTCCTGGGCGCTGCCGTCTCCTCCTTCGGCCATTATTTCAGCTTCAAAGTTTTGGTGCCGTTGCAAACTAAAAAGTGCGTGTGCGCGCCGCGGGAACTTCAGCTGAAGCGACGGTGGCTGGTAAGGGTCACCGCGCCGAAACCGCGGCCACGGTAAACCCACCGAGATAATATAGTTTTTTTAAAAACTGGACGGTTATTTTTATTGTCAACTTTTTTACCGGGGTTTACCGCTATACCGGTTACCGTGACAACCCTAGGTGTATTATTACTTTTATTCATTTGAATCTAAGTGTACTTTTTCCATGAATGAAAACCTCACTCCAAGAAAGGAGGATGAAACCAACACGAGCTTCATAGAACACCTGGAGATGTTTGATAGAAGGAAAGTTAGGTGTAAAAAGACTCCTTCACTACGTATGACCAAGGCATTTGCTGTCTGCTGTAGAGGACGTTTTAGAGCGCCACGTAAAAATAGTTTCATGCTCCACAGAGGCCAGAATCTCCAGAGGATGTAAAAGAACTATAAGAGGACACAAACGAGCGAGAACAAGAGTCCTACTAAAGTTTCAGATGAGGCGGAGCCTGCTGCTCTAGCCCATTTCCCTCAGTGTTTCTGCTCTGTGCTCCGAGGGGTCGTTGAAACGGGTCACTTCGAAACGTGCTCCTCTTCATGACTGACTCAGATGTTCCTTATCACAGTCTCTGGACTCAGGTTTCTTCAGACAGACACATTTATTGTCACTTCACATTTATAAAGTCAGATGAAATCAGTTTGATATCCCTGAAGATCAAAATGAGATCCTGGCTCACAGCGGGGGTGGGGTGACCATGTTTCCTGTTTAAAGTAACACCACTGCTCAGTTCCTGAACTTCAGATGGTTCCCACCTCCGCCTGTCATAAACACCTGTCATGTCACAACTCTCTAAGGTTGTGTCATTTTCTTTCATTCTTCGCATTAATTAAATGTTTATTAGACAATTATTCTGTGAATTATCAATATAGTCAGAAACATTTTTGATCACAAAAACTAGACTTTTATATTGAAAGTGACATTTTTTTTGCTTTCAGATCTGATGGACTCTCTTCACCCGTTTTAGATTAGTGGTCAAAAAGGGTTTTTGTGGGTTTTTTGCAACCAGTGTTGCTGCATCAATAATATATATATAGTTTCATGATCCCACATTTGTCATGATAATAAGCAGCTAAAAGATTTTTGAACAAACTCTTTAACAGCTTCATGTTGGAGACACCAAGATTAGGTCTGACCAGATTTACAGGCTAACAGCCAATGTCAGTGCGGTCAGCTCTTAAGTGGACGACAGCCATCTTAAATCTAAAAAAACAATGCAGAGGTTTATAGAAAAAAAAAATATATATATATATATATATATATATATATATATATATATATATATATATATATGAAGTTTTTCCTGGGTTCTGCTTTAGCCACTCCTCCAGTCTGGGGGTTACTGCCCAGTGCCCAAGTGCCTCGTTGACCACGGTACCACCGATGTCTTCTCTCTCCAGGCTTTCTCAAGTTCTTCTTTGAGGCTCTGGTACTTCTCTAGTTTCTCATGTTCCTTTTTCCTGATGTTGCATCACTTGGTATTGCCACATCAACAACAACAGCTGTCCTCTGTTAGTTATCCATCACCACAATGTCCGGTTGGTTCTCCATCACCATTTTGTCAGTCTGGATCTAAAAATCCCACAGGATCTTGGCTCTCTCATTCTCAACCACCTTAGGGGGTGTTACCCACTTTGACCTTGGGGTTTCCAGTCCATCCTCTGCACAGATGTTTCTGTACATGATGCCAATCACTTGGCTGTAGCGTTCCGTGTACGCTTCCCCCGCCAGCATCTTAAACCCTGCTGTTATGTGGTGGATTGTCTCAGGGGGCTCTTTGCAGAGCCTACACCTTGGACCTTGGGTAACACAATGCTAAACTCACAATGAAGTGTTGGTTCATAAAATAGTGTTTTCCTGAAACTCTGAAACATTTAAGATCTAAATTGTTTAAAGGGAAAATCTGTAATTCATTTTTATCTTAGATTTGTTTGGACTTGCCATTAGCGCTTCAATCTGATCAGAACTAATGTCTATTTCTTGAAGCTAATGCCATTTAAAAAGCTTCACTCAACAAGTGAGATATTGAACTTTTACCTGTATGTTTTCAAGTCACTTCAAAAGAGTAGAAATATCCATTTTTAAATCAAAGCAAACATTAAAGTTTTAGAGAAGAAAGACGTTATCTTCTCTACCACCTTCAGATTTGATACTGTTGACACAAAGACTGAAGATGCTGATGTAGTTTCTCACCAAAAGGATGAAATGATCCCACTGTGTTTTTTCTCTGTGTTGTTTTTCTGTGTCCTGCCTGTTTGTGGCACATATCAGGTCATTTCTCTCCAGCACTTCAGACCTGATCATGAACAGAGCAGGCGGATTCAAGGCCAGCAGACTCCGACAGACTCACCACAAACACTGACAGTGACAATAACACAAAAACACAACATGTCCTCCACTGGGGCAAGACTAGGCTGCTACCAGCGTCATGACACATGCATTAAAACAACAATCATCACCTGAGGAGTAAGAAAGTGTGATAATGTGTCTGCACTTTCTCTTTTTTTTCTCTTAGATCATCAAAAGTTGGAGAGAGAAGCAAGGATTTGTCGTTTATTAAAGCATCCCAACATCGGTGAGCAGAGTGTCCTCATTTCCTTTACACACACACACACACACACACACACACACACACACACACACACACACACACACACACACACACACACACACACACACACACGCACGCACGCACGCACGCATGCACACACACACACACACTTTGCAGGTCTCCTGTGATTCCTGCTTTCACCCATTTATCGTTAAGACACAGCTATGGGACATAACTGGAAAGGAAGGGAGCAAGTTTCTCTCTCTTCTGTTCTCTCTGGTGTGTGTGTGCGTGTTTAAGAACGTGCGTGTGTGTGCGTTTCAGGAGCTCATGGTGACGTACCTGTGAGCTCTTCCAGTTTGAGTCATCACACACGCTGGACTCTTGTTTGAACACCACTGACCTCTTACATGATTTCCTCCTCATTGCACTTGATGTCTTACTTCTTTCACCGTTGCTGTTTGCATCCTTTAACTCATTTCGATTCACTTAACATAATCTTACATGTACAAAAGTGTAAGCTTGACTAAATATGATGGGGCCTAAACATTATAATACTTGAACTATAAAAGTTGCTGACACCAGTTGTTTTATATTAGAAAGCTCCTCTTGGTACGACAGAGGATTTTTGACAACAATGAATAAAACAGGAGAAAGATTTTTAGCACCATTGACTTGCATTCATTTTTTTCCTTCTTCCGGGGACCCATGGTCTGGAATGAGCGTTACCTAGGCTCCCTATTGGTTTCTTCTGAAATCTGATTGGTGGCCCCTGAAATTCCCCCGTCCTTTCACTAATCTGTCCTTTGTGCATTGTTTAGCAGTGTTTCCCCTAGGACACGTCTCACCTTTATGTCCCCTAGGACACGTCTCACCTTTATGTTAATACTGTTTTATTTGATGTACTCCACTTTGAACTGCACCAGTCCAGCAACTGCTGCATTTTAATAACTAGTATTAAAGGTGAATACACCAATATTTGCACAAAAATAATTTTTGTTTTAAACTCTCAGTGACACACTTTGCAGGGGGGGTGGGGGGGGGGGGGTGGGGGGTGGGGGGGGGGCATTTAATTTTTCTTGGTGTCTGGAAAAACATCTTCTTCTGCCCCCTGGATTTTGGTCCAAGATCATTACTGGACTGGCCCTATTAAACACCTTCTACACCCCTGCTTAGTAGACTTAATAAAGTATTTTTAAGCCAGTATAAAAATGACTGAAACACAAATTTACATATTTGGCATTATTGACCAATATCTTTGATTTAATTTATTTAAGAACATCGAGATGCATTACAGTGAACATTATAATAAAGTACATGTTTCTAGTGCAGAGAGGAGACGACCCATAGACGCACTGGTCTGATCTCATTTCAGAGAAAAATAGAACAGGTCAGATGCACCTAATAAATAAAATTGCTAACATAAACTCAGGAATCTGTTTCTTTGCTTCATTGTTCTGGTGCTGAAAACATCACTAATGTGGACCAGATACACAGATGAATGCACCTCTTATTTATTATTTGGAAATTAGTGGGTGTGGTTTACATCAAAACATTATTTTAAATCTGAAATTGATATGGATTGATCAGAAGTTGTTTATTTATAAACTATTGTTTATTTGAAAACTATTTACAGAGCAGCCTCAGAATAGAGATTAAATATTTTTGATCACAACAGTAAAAGTATTACAGAACAACTTTTTCAATAAAATCAGAACATTAATATTTAAATGCATGAATTAATGCATCTGAACTCATGCAGTAGGAACTAGGAAATATGAAATACTAGAACATTTTATTTTAATTTGATGAAACAGATTTTTTCCTAACGTTGTTGGAATTTTTCCCACACACACACAGTTAAACAAAACAATGTTGATTGAGGTGTGTGTGTGTGTGTGTGTGTGTGAGTGAGTGAGAGAGAGAGAGAGAGAGAGAGAGAGAGAGAGAGAGAGAGAGAGAGAGAGAGGGGGAGAGAGAGTTAAAATAAAATAAAAAACCCCGACCGGAGCGGAGGCAATGACCGACGCATGCACGAGCCGTTTTCTTCTCTGTCTTGTCAAATGCACCACGTACGTTACGAAAAAAGTAACTTTAAATATTCAACCTATAAAGAGGCGAGCTGAAGAAAACATAAAGAGCACTGAAGAAACGTGAGCAACAGTGAAGCAATCACAGAGATACGTTACTGTCTGTGTGTGTGAGTGTGTGTGTGTGTGTGTGTGTGCGCGCGCGTGTGTGTGTGTGTGTGTGTGTGTGTGTGTGTGTGCATGGGCCGGATGGACTGAGCTCCCGGCTGCAGTTTTGAGTGTAGGGAGGGGCGGGCGCTCTATGTGACTGGCCAATCACAGAGCGTGAAGACAGTCAGTTACCCAATGAGGATTTTCCTTCAGCACGATTACAGATATTTACGAGTTTTACTCGTTTCGTGCTCGTATTTGTCAAAAATGCTTTATCCGTAAGCTCATCCCTAGCTGTAACCACCCTGCCCTGCCTCCTCCTCTTTGCTGCCTGTCGGCTGTGATCACAAGCAACAACAGAGTAGTTCCTGCTGCTTCTTCGGGAAACGGCACCAAAAAAAAAAAATCAATGAAACTTGGGATCTTGTAGGTATGGCGCTGGGATTTCAGCTGGGGTGGGCCGCCATGGCTATGCCTATGTAAGGGAAACACTGGTTTAGATCATAGTGTGTGTGCAGCTGGCTGCATGCGTTTAGCAGCTTTTCCTAGTCGGGAAAACTGGGCGCTCACCTCGGCTGCCTTTGGGAGGCTGAAGTGGCTGATTTGAGGAAATTCTGATTGCTTCTGCAGAAGGGAGAGAAACCGAAACCCGGTTATCCTCCTTTCTGCAGCGACTACCTTGCGGATCATTGACTGCGGTGGACCAGCGCAGCCCAGAAACCTTTGCCAACCTTGGCCAGCTACCTTGCTCGATTCTTGGTACCCAGCCAGCCCCACCAGCACATCATTTTTCAACTCATCTTTGACCAAGCCGTGTTATGTTAAATGCACAGAAATTTCCCCCATTCAACCAGTGACAAAATTACAGAAATATAATTATACTTACTGATAAAAATGAAGCAGAGACTCTTAGATGAGCTTGCCCCCTTAGTCCAAATAATTCCATGGTTATTATCTGTACAAGAAGGCACAGATGACACACCTAAAGTTCAGAGTCGAAATGGCCGAACATCTGCTAACGTGAGACCGAGGCTCAGGCCTTCCCCGGAGCTAGCTACTACCGCTAGCCCTGATGCTGAAGCTACCTGTCAATCAAATCTAATTATTCATCATTTCAAACATTTAATTACATCTAATCCTCAAATTTATCATGAGTGTAAACTAGATCTACCTAAAATGTTTTTTAACCAGGCTGTAAACATGTTTTATTTCTTCTGTGAAGTTGGGAGTCAATGAGGATTTGCTCACTTCTGGTGCCAGCCCCCTAGTGGATGAGGATGGAACAGCAACTTTTGTCACTCCGTGTTTGCTTCAGGGCTGCTCACTTTGTCCAGACCCCAATGAGGCTCTTTGGGATGTGCTGGAGAAGGCTTTCTGCAGCGGTCAGACTTTACCATCATCAGTGCAAGATCTTGGTGAAACATGAATGCAACACTGGATGGAAATAAATCTGGTGACATTGCAGAAGCTTATCGAAACAGCGCCACAGCAAATGTGTGCCATAATCAGAGCTAAAGGCGGTTCAACGACATAGTAGAGTGTGACTTTTTTATTTTGGTGACAATATTTTTTGGGACAAGCAGCATATTTGCATTTCTATAGTCCTACAGACAAAAACCCAAAAAGGTTATCTTGTCCAATGAAACTGCTTGTCATGTATTTTTTTCTCTCTGTCAGATTTCTTCTTGTTACCTGGACTGTGATTATGTTCTTGTGACTTTTCTTTCTCAGTAAGACTCCATGACAGCATATCAGAAGAAGGTTTCCACTATCTCGTGTTTGATCTGTGAGTAACAGACATCACACACACACACACACACACACACACACACACACACACACACACACACACACACACACACACACACACACACACACACACACACACACACACACACACACACACACACACACACACACACACACGCACACTTATACTCGCGTGTTCTCACATTAGTGCAATAAAACCATCAGAGATGCTGTTATTTTCTAACATACTGTAACTAAAGCCCAAGAAGACCCTCTTTGGTCAACAATTAAACACAAAAATTGAGGAAAAAAGACAAGTAAAAATGTTTTAAAGTTGCTCAGATACAACCCAACACGTTTTTCTCTATTTTTCATGCATTTGCCCAAAGCAAATAAGGGATGTTATTATCTTTGAAGATGCTGATAATGATCAGTGAAGATGAGAAACAAGACAGATAACAGATTGAGTCTGCTCTGATCTGAAGGGTCAGATCAGATCGCTATGACCACGTCTGTCTGCAGCAAACCTGACCGAGTAAATTCAGCCAGGAAAATATTATTATTGGTAAAGTGATGTATTCCCTGTTTTGTTGTTGTTTACTGCTATTTACATTTAGGTTACTGAAATCCATGTGTGCTGTTTATAGTATATTATTTTTCTAGAATAAGTGACTTGTTTTTGTTTCTTAAACCAACAACACACCCCAAACAGCATTGACTGGAGTTAGAGTTTTGCCAAATTGAACTGATATTATTGAATAATGGTAATAATAGACAACAAGTTATTTATATGTGATAATTTTTTATTTAGCAATAATAACTGAAATGGCAAAATAAATATATGATAAAAATGTGCTTTTTAAGTGTAGTAAATACATTAATAATAATAATAATAATAATAATAATAATAATAATAATAATAATAATAATTATTATTATTATTATTATATGTGATATATTATAAAACGTATATGTATTTCTGTATGTTTAAATCAAGTCCACACATGAGATTTTTCCTTGTCAGTGAGATTCAGATTTGATGGAGAAAGTCAGATGACAGCAGCTGCTTTGATGCTGTCACCGTGGGAAACGACTGATGATAAATCACCAGACAGACAGAGTGATGGGAGAGAAGAATCTGCTGTCAGACATGAAAGACAGTTTATCGGTGATTTCTGTCCAGAAGTTGTGGGCAGTGCAGGATTTAATGGATGTTATCATCTAAGCTGTTGGACAGCTCAAACATCAGTGACTCATGTCCAGTAAGCCAGTTTGGTGAATCTTTTTAAACATCCATACATGTTTGTGTGGCAGAGGTTTATTTGATTGGCTTAATTTATCATTAACTAGGTTTGCATTGTTTTTTTATGTGCAGATTTAGCAAGTGTGTGTGTGCGTGTTACTTTTTTTTTTTTTAGCTTGAAGTAAAGATTGAGGTTTTTTTTAACAAGGAGTCAAAATACAAGTTTGATTTGATTTAATTTTTTAGCTTTTAAATGTTTGATGCGTTAGTACTCAGGCTTGACTCGTGTGAGACCAGAGTATGTTTAATAAAAAACATTAATAAAGAAAAAAATAAAATAAAATGAATGAAAAGAAGAGATAGACTGAAAGCTGAAGACCAATTTCAGTATTTTCAAATTGATCAAAAAGAGCTAAACATAATGAGTGTCATTGGTTCAAAACAAGGTAGGACAGAAAAATAAACAAAACCATTAAACACAAACCACACAAAAAAGCTCATCAAAATAAAGTAGGAAAAATAAACTCTTAATCATGCCTTTTCTTGTTTGTTTTGACCTAAAACCAACAATTTATTACAGGCTATTCAAAGGAATGAGATGTGGAAGTTGTGGCCAAAACTAAATAACTGCCCCTAGTGGCTGGTTGCAGCATAGGTTTTAGGCCCTCTTCATATAAACAAATGTTACTTCTTCCTGACTAAGTCATAGAAATACACCTCAGATCTTTTTTCCCACATTCTTATGAAAAGGACTTTCAGTAGTCTTACATTTCTGCTGTACAATCATGCATTCATTTTTCTAACACAATTAGCTGTAAGCAGCTTGATGCTTAGTAACATTATGATTATGTACAAGTGAGTGGGACTTTCAGATACACATCTTGAGAGATGATACTCTTGGAGAAGTCTTGGAAACAGGATAATAAAGCTTTATTCTTGAAGAATGGTAACAGAGACACTACCTTAATGCCCAGAACCCATTATTTATTTATTTTCCCGATGCATCCAGCTGTAGCCATGTCCTATTCCAGGTTTCACTAGCTCCTGTTTCATGAAATCACTGTTTGTCCTCCTTTTGTAGATAATCTTATGTGTTTAATACATCAAAAATCAGTTTCTTTCACTAACAGTTAGAGAGCACCTTATGTCATACCTAATAATAACATATTTATTACATGTATTTGCACATTTTGCATAATAACAGCAAATATAATTTAAGTACTCAAAAGATTTATAATGCCACTTGAATTAAAGATGTTTGTAAAATAATTCCACCACCTCGGCTTCACTTGGAGATATTTACCTTCTGCGGAGCTTGTACAGTTCAATAATCTGCATTCTGAAAAATCAAAGTATTCAACAAGGAAGGGTTATGTAGGGAGGACTTATAGCACCTTTCAGAGTCAGAGGACTCCAAAGCACTTTACACTACAGTGTGTCGTTCATCCATTCACACACACTGATGGTGATGAGCTACGATGTAGCCACAGCTGCCCTGGGGCGCAGTGACAGAGGCGAGGCTGACGAGCACAGGCGCCACCGGTCCCTCCGACCACCACCAGCTGGCAAGGTGGGTCAAGTGTCTTGCCCAAGGACACAACAGCAGAATTCTCTGTCCAGAGTTAGGATTGAACCTGCAACCTTCCAAATACTGGACAACCCGCTCTACCTCCAGAGCTACTGCCCTTTGAAGACCCATGCATCTTAAAATCCTTTGGCTCTGATTGGAAAAACCTTTAGAATACCAATAACTTGCTGTTAAGCCGGACAAACTTAAACACAATAAAAAGACCTCTTATTTTGAAACAATGCAATTATCATTAAATCACAAACACTGTCAGTTAGAAGTAAAAAGAGGCAGCAGTGAAGATCTTAACAGCAAATTTCACAATAACAAGAGCTCCAGTGATTGAAATCAGAGACTCGGTTTAAACTTGTGGGAGAAATAGAGCGAGGCAAGCTGCAGCATCTGGGGCTTTGCTTTAACATCAGCCAAGAATTGGGACAAACCCCCAACATTCCTGCTGGGCAAACACGCAGATGATCGCAGACCAATCAGCTGAGCGATGTTGGAGCACTTATCTGCCTCAAAAACAAACCAAACACTAAATAACGTTACACTTACTGTACCTCCACTGAGAAGCTAATGCTTAGCTGTGGTCGCCAGTGTGTGTGTGTGTGTGTGTGTGTGTGTGTGTGTGTGTTTGAGACATTTAATCTTCAATTGAAGATGACAGAAACACATAGAAACTAATGTTGTCTTTGTGTCCCTGCAGGGTGACGGGAGGAGAGCTGTTCGAGGACATCGTGGCTAGGGAGTACTACAGTGAGGCTGATGCCAGGTAACCCCCCCCCCCACACACACACACACACTCACTGCTGAGGAAAACAGCCATTGTGTATTTTTGTCAGCGACTGGAGAGGACTTTATGTGGGGATATTTGTGTGTCTCCCACACGGTTGTCTCAGAGGTACGGTACAGCTGCCTTGTCTCTGAGGCATCTCATAGAGTTATTTATACAAGTGATTAATGGCATAAAGCCCACGGTATAAATCATACACAGCCTAGCTCACAGAGCCAGCTTTGTGCCTCTCCAGAGAACACAAAGAGAGCTTTTTCTCTTGTTTTCTTGGCACATGTGTTGGACAGCTTTGGTGTTGCTGTGCTGTTTATTACATTACATCTAGTTATGTCATGTGACTAATCATCTCTCAAAATAAACACCAGCAGATACTCATGGGGAGAAATTGTGATGTTATAAAATGATCTCCTCCCAAATGAAACTGTTATTTACCTCGTTTTCTTACTTTTCTTCCTCTCCTCCCGTACTCTCCTCCTCAAATCCTTCCATCAGCCACTGCATACAGCAGATCCTGGAGAGTGTCCATCACTGCCATGTCAACGGGATTGTTCACAGAGATCTGAAGGTTTGTATGACCACAGTCAACTCTAAATCTCACAAGTACACCAACAAGATGAAACTTTTTTCAGTGTTTGCCTTTTAAAAGGAATAGTTTGGGTTTTGTGAACCGTGGTTTTGAGGAGTTGTCATCAGTAGAAGGAAGTCAAAGTAATCTCAGTCTGGAGAATCAGACAGAGGAGTGAAACAAACACCAAGTTAGCAGATTAAAACAGCTCAAATTTGACATCAAATAATGACGAGGAAGTAGATTTATTTTTGTTTTTCAGTCATTTTTTCAGTTAAAATGTCCAGAAAAAACTACATTTCTAATATTAGCGAACCCCATTTAGCTCCTGGTCCCTGCAGCATTTGTTTATGATTTCCCTTTAATATACACACCAAGAAGAAAAAAGAAAATATTTTGTTATTTTTGCCTTTAGAAATCATTCTGGACCTAAAGGGTTATAATAATGTAAGCTTAAACAATCCTAACCTGCTTTGGAGCAGAGCAGAGTGCTCTTAACACACCACACACTGCACATCTGATAAGATTATCTTTAGAGCCATCTCAGTAATCAGGCGTGTCTTTAAGATCGTCGGAAAAGGAGAACAAGGCCTAACTATTGGCTCAATAAGAACTTCTCTCTTATTCTCCCAACAAAGATCACTCTGAACCACCGTTAATTTTGACAAGAAGTTTCAATTTAGTTTTAATTTTGACTAAAATATTTTCTAATTTTAGTCAGGATTTAGTCATCTAATTTGTTTTAATTCCAGTCTTATTTTAGTTGACTGAAATAGACGTGTGCAATTCTTTTGAACGTCTGTAAGGGAAATGTTAGCTACACGTGAAAATGTAAAGCAAGATGAAGGATTCACATTTCACAGTTCGGATCAATAAAACTTTATATTTAAATTTGCTTTAATAAAAATTATTATTGAAAATACCAAAATGCACACTGACGGTTTGAAATTGTGTCTCAACGTTAACAAAGTAAAAAAAAATCTGTCTAATGTGCAGAGATATTTGTTAACTTGACAGGAAATGACATCATACCATCGAAACATTAAAAAGTGTACTCTAATAATGCGAGGAGGTAAACTAAAGGTATTCAAGCATTTTCCTTAGTCTCATTTACCAAGGTGGACTACCTGAATGTTTTCATCTCACAAAGAATCCAGAACGCTGATAATATTGGCCGTAGCGCCACGAAAAGAACAATTAAACCACCAGATGCACAACTCTGTGAGTTTGATTCGGCTCAGCAATCTACTTCCTGTGGCGTCACCCACCTTGCGCACTGCTGCCAGCGTAACACTTTTATAACCAGGGAAAACCTGGATGTATAGTTTTCATTTTTTGTTTCGTGCTCAAAAATTAATTTGTCACAAAAACAAATTTTTATAAAATTAAATTTGCTTTAATTGACATCGATTGCAGAACTCGTTTATACAAACTGTGAGGTATCCCTTTAGAAAAAAACCTTCCACATGTTTATTTGTTTTGTACATCAGGGACAGAGCACACACAGTGTTGTAAAACAAAAGGAAAACAACATTCATCCATTTTTTTCACTTGTTTGCTTTGTATTTTATGTGATTCGGATCGGGATCACCGGTAGTTCTCAATGCCTTCCTGCTAACGTCAATAACAAGGAACGTCTTCTATTAAAGTTAAAGTTCAAGTCCCATTAGTTGTCACATACACTGATGTGTGTGCGAAATTTGTTCTCCGCATTTGACCCATCTCCTGGGTAGGGATGGGTACCGAATTCGGTACTTTTTAAGGTACCGACCGAATTCCACAGTACCGACCGAGCACCGATTCACGTCATTTCAAACGGTGCCTCGTTTCGGTACCCGTCCTTCATAATGAGAACTTGCTTAGACAGCTGCGCATGCGCAAGAGCGTTATGTCGTCGCTCACTGCGAGCCAGTTGTAAACAGAGCAGCATGGTAGAAAGAACGCACGCTAAAGCTTGGGTCCACTTCACTAAATGTGATGGGTAACTGGGTGATGATGAAACCAGCGACAACGATCTAAGTGTGAGGCATCATCATTTTAATTTGCTCCAGCAGCTAAATAAACAGTTTAAGATAACGTTAGCTTGATATGTTAGCTTCCATTGCTACCGTTGTTATCAGCTAACGGTGCGTTCGCTTTCTCCTCGGAAATTCTAACTTCCCAGTAGGAAAAATCAAATGAAAAAAGACGGCAAAAGGAATGAAGATACACAGTAAATTTAGTTCACAGTAAAGATGTTTGCTTCAGTTTAATTATCAGCTTATAAAACTACAAGGACGATGTTAAAATACAAACAGTTGAATGTTATTTATCGTGATATTTATCAAATATTGTTATATATTGAGAAAAATATATATTTAATTATAAAAGAGAATTAAAATATTAAAAACTCAAAAGTATCGAAAATTGGTACCGTTAAGTACCGGTATCAATTCGTAGGTACCGGGAATTAGTACCGAATCGATTCAAATGTCAAAGGTACCCATCCCTACCCCTGGGGGAGCGGTGAGCTGCAGACACAGCCACGCTTGGGAACCATTTGGTGGTTTAACCCCCCAATCCAACCCCTTAATGCTGAGTGTCAAGCAGGGAGGCATTGGGTCCCATTTTTCAAAGTCTTTGGTATGCGACGACCAGGAATTGAACCCTGATCTCCCAGACTCAGGGCAAACACTCTACCACTAGGCCACTGAGTGCCCTAACGTTGCAGTGAACACACTGGTGTCATGCTGAATGTGTAATTGTGTGAGTGCTGATAAGAGCAGAAGCAATTATGGATCAGACTCTCAAAAATGCTCCTGATCAGATATGGAGAAAAGACCAGAAGTTGTTATTGTATGACTTTGCTAGAAGTGATGTCCTTTGTTGAATGAAATGATAACATTTGAGCTTCAACTTAAATTTGTAGATGTGTCTAGTTGTCAGTGAGCCTGTTGAGCTGTATGCCTGCCACAAAGTGCCAGCTTGCAGGCTGTCTGTGCTCAGAGCCTCTAAATGTTAGGAAATGTATTATTCATAACACACAGTCTCTCTGGCCTAAGGTTAGCAAAGACCTTTCTGCAGCTGTGTGTGTGTGTGTGTGTGTGTGTGAGACATGGTCTCATGAATATCTTTGATTGTGTTAATCTGTGTTGGTGTCCAGTGTTTGTTTGTAGGTACATACATGTGGCGCCTCTTGTGACACCTTCCCCCTGCATCTTTCTCCCCTCGCTGTGCACTTTGCTCCCACTCATGGATGTGAACAGCAGACTGGTGTGTTACTGTGGACAAGAACATCGTGTCCACTGCCTCTCAATCCATGAGGCTAAGAGAGCAAGTTCCAGAGAGTAAAAACGTCCCTGGTCACCTAGAGTTGGTCCCGTGCACATGTTTGTGTGTCTGTCATCTGTGTGGCAGGAAGGGAGTTGCTGCAGACACGGATTTAGGAGCAGCTTAGTGTCACTGAAGCCGAATGGCTTTGATTAGGGTTTGGTTTGGCTAATCTGATTTTAGATCTGTGTCTGTGGGCAGCATGATCCCTGAGCGTGTGACCTCTCACCTCTAACCTGTTTGACTCCGCCCCCCCCAGCCTGAGAACCTTCTATTGGCCAGTAAGCTGAAGGGGGCGGCGGTCAAGTTGGCTGACTTTGGGCTGGCCATCGAGGTACAGGGGGACCAACAGGCATGGTTTGGTGAGTATTTATCCGTCCGTTACCTCCGTCTGAATTAGTCTGTCAAACACACAACTGGTTTAATAGCTGGACAGAGGAAGAGCCAGTGGGTTACATGCAACACCCAGTATACTTGCTTTTTAAACGGTATTTCAGTCGCCAAATTTACAGTCATAGAAATGTTTGATCAACTCAGTTTCTTTCTAAGAGGTGGCAATCTGACTCAAATGCCTGTTGACTCAGCTGATAGACAAACACAGTAAAACAATGGTTCTCATTTAGTTGGTTTTGTAACCATTTTCACAGGAATAAATAAATAAATAAATAAAAATCCAAGAGATAAAGTCACAGTTGGTGTGTTCTTTAGAAAATATCTTTCTTTTTGTTTAGACACCGTTTGGCAAAGTTACATCATAAGAATTTCTTTAGCAAGAACTCTCTAGTTTTAAAAGTTTTCAAGAAATCAGCTACTCCACATTAACAAACCCTCAGCATGCATCATCATCATCATCATCTAGCCAGTTTACAGCCAAAGCTTAAAGTAAACACCAGCTACCAGACAACTGGAGTCAATTTCAGAAGCATTTCTTACGTTTTTTTCCCACAACTGAGAATGAAGTCGATCTCATCTATGACTCCACATCTTTTTCTCCGTTCATATGATCCATCCAGGTTTTGCTGGCACCCCAGGCTACTTGTCCCCAGAAGTTCTGAGGAAAGATCCGTACGGGAAACCAGTGGACATGTGGGCCTGTGGTAAAATCAACAAAAGTGTTGTTTATTAGATGAAATCAGTTTCACTCTGTACAAATGCTATGCTGAACATTTAAACCTCAAGACTGAGCATTGTGTGATCAAGCCTTTAAGTCTGTTTATTACAGTCTAAATGAAAGTGAAGAATAAAACAGGCTGTTAATGTGAGAAGATAGTCGCTGTGTTTATGAATCCAAGTCTCACATGTCTCTCTTTTAGGCGTGATTTTGTATATCCTGTTGGTGGGCTACCCACCTTTCTGGGACGAAGATCAACATCGCCTCTACCAACAAATCAAGGCTGGAGCCTATGACGTGAGTAGCCTACGCACACACACACACACACACACACACGCACGCACGCACGCACGCACGCGCATGCACACGCACGCGCACACGCACACGCACGCACGCACGCACACGCACACACGCACGCACGCATGCACACACACACACACACAAGCACACACACACACACACACACACACATTCAGAAGTCATGCCCATACTTGTCATTTTTATGAATTGAATCTCATTCATGAATGCACCAACTTACAGGACAGATTTCAGCCATATTTAAGTATTTTTCAATTTTTAAGTTATAAATTATGATTGTTTACTTCTGAATCGACTCAGTTCGGAAAAATAGTGTTTACATTTTACAGAAGTTAGCTACTAGCTGTAGGGATGACAGTAGCAGAGGAGTTCACTGCCCGTCTCGTAACCAGAAGGTTGCGGGACTGAGTCCTATTCAGTCTGTCCCAGTCGTTGTGTCCTTGTGCAAAACCCTCCTTGCCTGCTGGTGGTGTTCAGAGGGCCCGGTGATGCCAATGTTCAGCAGCCTCGTTCCGATCAGCGCATCTCAGGGCAGCTGCGGCTAGCTCATCACCACAAGCTTGTGAATGTGTGTGGATGGGTGAATGAATGGATGTGTTATAAAGCACCTGGGGGGGTGGGGGTGGGGTGGGGGGGTGGGGGGTTAGAACTTTAAAAAGGGCCATATAAACACATACCGTAGTCAGAATGCTGCCAAGTTGGTTGCTGGCGGCTTAAAACAACACTTAAGATTCTTGCTGGTTCAAAGTAAAATTACAAGTTTTGTAAACAACCCTGCCATGGCCTGCTGTAGATACTGAGCTAACACTGACACTAGCCGACAGATTCTACAAAAGCCACAAAGTATAAATATACACATTTCATCACTCCGGGTTTACAGTCCCTCCACTGGCTCCCGGTAGAATATAGAATTCAGTTTAAAGTTTTAGTCCTGGCCTATAGAGCTCTTAACAACCAGGCTCCAAGCTACCTATCTGAGCTTTTATCCCCACACACCACCTCTTGGAACCTTAGATCCACATCTGAAAACCTCCTGGCTGTTCCTCGAACCAGACTGAAAACCAAAGGGGACAGGGCCTTTCAGACTATTGCACCCAGACTTTGGAACAGTCTACCTTCAAATCTCCGTCTCTTTAACACTGTAGAGGTCTTTAAAAATCATCTAAAAACTCACCTTTTCATCCAGGCGTTCCCTCCCTAAATGTTCAAAAAGATGGCTTTGTTTGGGTTCACACCTTCACTTTGTTTATACTCATGATTTTATTTTCTACGTTTATCACTGCTATTGTTTTTCTGATGTTTTTATTGGTTAGAGGTATTTGCCCTGATCTTTATCATGTTGTACAGCGCTTTGTGATTTATATCTGTGAAAGGCGCTATATAAATACACTTTTACTTACTTTACTTACTTACTTACATTAGTTGACAAAATAATATTAGTCCAGGAGCAAATATGAGGAAATAAAAGCTGCCGTCTGAAGCTCAGTTGTGATGTGGTTAGCTGCTAGTTATTGGAAATGGTGCATCGGTTTATTTTTCCCCTCCTGAGTACAACTTACAAGGCAGTAATTTATTCTAGAGACCACTGCAAATGTGTTGATTAAACGAGTGATGCTCACCTTTAAAGTGCAACTCATCCCCCGACCGGTCTTACTCCTGCCCAAAAATTGTGATTTTTTTTTGTTAAAACTGTGAACTGAATTAGAATCAGCCATTGCTTCTGGCCAAGAGGTAAATTGCCATATTATGTGGCTGAATTGCTCTGGACTGCAGCCATGAGCCGATTCAAAATGATGCAACTTAGAGCTGCTTGCCTCCCTAAAAAGACATTGTCCTCCCTTTCTTCTAGTCAGCAAGGTGGACAGAAAATCCTCAAGCCTGCTGGTGTTTCTCTGCTTGTCCGACTTAGCATTGTGTCTCTAGCGTCTTTTATAAAACAATGCTGCCAACGTGTCGCAAAGTGAGCCAGCATCTTGGAGCCTTTGGTTGTTTAGAAGATGTCAGACTGCGACGGGAATGAGGTGCAATCGTGTCCTTGTCATGATAGATAATGCAATGGCAGTAAAAATGAGGGTGTGGGGCCGTCCAGCTCCGGAGCTCCTGGAGCTCTGCATCACTCCACTTTATCAGCTCAGATCGTTCTGTTAACAAAAGCAAAACTCATGGCCTGTGTTTAATTTCAGTTTCAACATTTTAGCCAGCCGGAGCCTTGCAGTAACTCCCCATGTGATCATGACACACCCTCTGTTAGTTGGTGGAACGAAAGCTGCAACATTCCTGCACCGCCATGCCGCCATGACGCTTTCATAAGACACATCATCCCGGCAGTATAATGCTGATTTGCTGGCGTGGTGTGCCCTACAGAAACGGGCTACAGTGTGTATGTGCTTGTTTCTCCGGCTGAGACACTCTGAGACCATGGGGGTTGGAGTGTGTTGAGCAACACTTCTGGGTCACCCAGGGGTCAGCTGTTGCAGGAATGTCTTATTATTTCCGCCAAACATTACGAGTTTTATTTAGTTTCTTCAATGGTGTCTCTCTTCTGAATACTTTGAATGTGCTTGTTGTTGTTTTTGACAGTTTCCTTCTCCTGAGTGGGACACCGTAACCCCAGAGGCCAAAGATCTGATTAACAAGATGCTAACGATCAACCCCAGTAAACGCATCACAGCTGCAGAAGCTCTCAAACACCCCTGGATCTGTGTACGTCTCTCTCTCTCTCTCTCTCTCTCTCTCACACACACACACACACACACACACACACACACACACACACACACACACACACACACACACACACACACACACACACACACACACACACACACCCTAAATAATAGCTTATTTTCTTTCTTCTTGCAGCAACGCTCCACTGTAGCTTCCATGATGCACAGGCAGGAGACCGTCGAGTGTCTGAAGAAATTCAATGCCAGGAGGAAACTCAAGGTGAGACTTCAGACACTGCATCAAGTTTCTATTTATGCTGGACGATCCATCCAGCTGCTTCTCTCTGCCCTCTGACAAAACTTTCCATTGGAACTTAAAAACTAATGATCTGTTCTCTGAAACCTTCACCTTGCCTTTTTTCTGAGCACTTCTTTCTCTTCCTTCAACTTTTTAATCTACCTTGTTTGATTTTCCACCATCGTATCCTTCTTACCTTCTCTTCTATCACTGCAGGGAGCAATACTGACCACTTTGCTGGTCACAAGAAACTTCTCAGGTATGTTTCTCTCAGCCTGCTATTCAAGAACTGGTCACTAAAACCTCTAAAATACAGAATACCCCCTCTGGGATTGTATTTATTTGTGCAATCCTTTTTATAGTGAAGAGATTGAGTGTCTCTTTTATAATGGTCACACTAAACAGATGGTAAAATAGAATAAAGCATTAGAAATAAAATAGAAAAACCTTAAAATCTGATGATTTTGACCCAAAGAGGTTATTGGTAAACAGTCATCCCTCTTTATTTCTCCAGCTGTGGTTCTATCGCTCTACCTTTACTTGATCATACTTTCTTGCATGTGTTTCCTTCAGCCTGTCTCTAATTTTCGGGGGTCTTACCCACTTTCACTCTCTACTCCAGTAAACTGCATTAAAACGTTTGTGTCTCTTTCTATTCATCATATATTCTTGTTTTTTTCAAACTTCTTCTTTTTTTGTGTTTGTGTTTGGATTGTGGTATCCATTTGAGGTAAGATTTTTTTCAATGACAAGGAAGTGTGTGGGATTGCTCAACCAATAGGTTTAAGGAAGGACCCTTAAGCCACTGGGCTGAGGCTGTGGGACAAAATATGACAATTTTCAAACTAATATAATTCATCCAACACTTTTGCAACCATTTTAATTATTCTCAGGTCACATAGGTCACATGTATTTGATAATAAAATGCAGCATTTGTTGTATGAATGTTTTGGAAATGTTCTCATCACCATTTAGTGTATTAATTATGTCACATTTATTACACTTTCTCAAAATTGAAGGATTCCAGACCTTTGTGAAAACTCTCAGATGATTTTGAGAAGAAAGTAACTGTGCAAATCCTTTTAAACATGTTCGGAAATCAAGCTACGCAAGAACAAGGCCGTTTGACTCTTGCGGGGAAATTGAGAATGAAAAAAATATTTTAAGACATTTTGGAAAATCCCTTTATTTCTCCCCAGCAGTCTCAGTCCAGCAAGACACTGGCTTTTCTCTTCTAAACGTCCGTTAACCATGCATGAAGATGAAGTATTTGCTTTTAAAAACAAAGTTGTTGCATCTAGAGAAGTCAAGGAGAAATGTAGATGAGCACCAGGCATGATTCACAGATACTGAAATGCAATGTGTTTAGATCAGAGGTACTCAACTACAAATCTTAAAGGGCCACATTGGCATTGTTGAAAGACTGTGTGTGTGTGTGTGTGTGTGTGTGTGTGTGTGTGTGTGTGTGTGTGTGTGTGTTTGTGTGTGTCAGAATCAGAAGGGTTTTATTGCCATATGTGTGACGGGTGGTAGTCGAGGGCGGGGACCTTGGCGGTCTGATCCTCGGCTACAGAAGCTGGCTCTTGGCACATGGAATGTCACCTCTCTGGTGGGGAAGGAGCCTGAGTTGGTGTGTGAGGTTGAGAGGTTCCGACTAGATATAGTCGAACTAACCTCAACGCATGGCTCTGGCTCTGGAACCAGTTTCCTTGAGGGGGGTTGGACTTTCTACCACTCTGGAGTTGCTCCCACTGAGAGGCGCCGAGCAGGGGTGGGCATACTAGTTGCCCCCCATCTTGGTGCCTGTACGTTGGGGTTTACCCAAGTGAATGAGAGGGTAGCCTCCCTCCCCCTACATGTGGGGGGATGGGTTCTGACTGTGGTCTGTGTTTATGCACCAAACTACAGTTCAGACTACCCACCCTTTTTGGAGACCTTGGAGGGGGTGCTGGAAAGCAGGTTTAAGTCCCACGTGGGACTTTAACGCTCACATGGGCAACGACAGTGACACCTGGAGAGGTGTGGTTGGGAGGAACGGCCCCCCTGATTTGAATTCGAGTGGTGTTTTGTTATTGGACTTCTGTGCTAGTCATGAATTGTCCATAAAGGTGTCCATATGTGCTCTTGGCACCAGGATACCTTAGAACGCAGCTCGATGATCGACTAAAGCTTGGTTTATGCTTGACGCATTCACTTTCAGCGCAGTGATGCGGATCGTGGATGGAACGCACTTCACAACTCGCAGTGTTTATGGTTCGTGCGGCTCGTCTCTGCGGTGAGCCAATATTCTCCCAAACTGTAGGGGGCAGCATGGAGCTCTACGGCATGCATCCAACACTACACCGTAGTAGAAGTAGAAATTACTGTTTACAACACGGCATTTCAGCATTTCTAACAGCGTTCTCGTCTTTTCCGACAGTGCGAGCTATTTCTCTCCAAGAATTATTAGCAACATGTTGATCACGGTGATCTTTGAGAGCTGAATCATACAAATGTCTGTATTTACGAACCTCTTCCATACTAGTTCTTGCCGGTCCGCCATGTTTTTCCGCGTCCGTCCGTCCGCGTGGTTAGAAATTTTCCGAGGTGCACGGTGCGGAAATTCTGGGCCGTGCGGAGGCGCGGTGGAGGGGCGTGGTTGTTAAAATGACGCAAAATGACGCAACTTTTTCGCACGGAGCAGTGCGGACCTCGCGGGCACGTCAAGCATAAACCAACCTTTAGTTGTTGTTTCGTCTGACCTGCAGCCGCATGTCTTGGACGCTCGGGTGAAGTGAGGGGCGGAGCTGTCAACTGACCACTGAGTTGGCTCAGATGGTGGGGGAGGATGCCGGTCAGACCAGGCAGGCCCAAACGTATCTCTAGGGTCTGCTGGGAATGTCTGGCAGAGTCTCCTGTCAGAAGGAACTTCAAATCCTACCTCCGACACAACTTCCAAAATGTTCCAGGGGAGGCGGGGGACATTGAGTCTGAATGGACCCTGTTCCGTGCCTCCATTGTTGAAGTGGCCAACCGGAGCTGTGGTTGCAGGATCGTCGGTGCCTGTTGTGGTGGCAACCCCTGAACCCGCTGGTGGACACCGGCGGTTAGGGATGCTGTCAAGCTGAAGAAAGAGTTCTATCAGGTCTTTTTGGCCTGTGGGACTCCAGAGGCAGCTGACGCATACCGGCAGTCCAAGCGGAACGCGGCTCGGGTGGTCGCCGAGGCAAAAACCGGGGCATGGGAGGAGTTCGGTGAGACCGTGGAGCAAGACTTCCGTAGAGCTTCGAGGAGATTCTGGTCCACCATCCGGAGCCTCGTGTGGGGAAAGCAGTGCACTACCAACACTATCTATAGTGGGCACGGTGTGCTGCTGACCTCTACTCAGGACGATGTGGATCGGTGGGCAGAATACTTCGACGACCTCCTCAATCCCACCGACACGTCTTCCAGTGAAGAAACTGAGTCTGGAGACTTTGGGTTGGCCTCTCAAATCTCTGGTGCTGAGGTCACTGAGGTGGTTAAAAAGCTCCTCTGTGGCAAGGCTCCAGGGGTGGATGAGATACGCCCGGAGTTCCTTAAGGCTCTGGATGTTGTGGGGCTGTGTTGGCTGATGCAGCTCTGCAATATCGCTTGGACATCGGGGGCAGTCCCACTGGACTGGCAGACCAGGGTGGTGGTCCCCTTATTTAAAAAGGGGGACTGCAGGGTGTGTTCCAACTACAGGGGGATCACACTCCTGAGCCTTCCTGGTAAGGTCTATTCAGGGGTTCTGGAGAGGAGGGTCCATCGGATTATTGAACCTCAGATTCAGGAGGAGCAATGTGGTTTTTGTCCTGGTCGTGGAACACTGGACCAGCTCTATACCCTTAGGGGGATCCTGGAGGGAGCATGGGAATTTGCCCAACCAGTCTACATGTGTTTTGTGGATTTGGAGAAGGCGTTTGACCGCGTCCCTCGGGGGGCCCTGTGGGGGGTACTTCGGGAGTATGGGGTACCAGGCCCTCTGATACGGGCTGTTAGGTCACTGTATGACCGGTGTCAGAGCTCGGTCCGCATTGCCGGCAGTAAGTCGGGCTCGTTCCCAGTGAGAGTTAGACTCCTCCAAGGCTGCCCTTTGTCACCGATTCTGTTCATAACCTTTATGGACAGGATTTCTAGGCACAGCAAAGGTGTTGACGGCATCCGTTTTGGTGGCCTGAGGATCAGGACTCTGCTTTTTGCAGATGATGTGGTCCTGTTGGCTTCATCAGAACGTGATCTTCAGCTTTCGCTGGAGCGGTTCGCAGCCGAGTGTGAAGCAGCTGGGATGAGCATCAGCTCCTCTAAATCTGAGACCATGGTCTTGATTCGGAAAAGGGTAGAATGCCTTCTCCGGTTCAGGGATCAGGTCCTGCCTCAAGTGGAGGAGTTTAAGTATCTCGGGGTCTTGTTCACGAGTGATGGAAAACTGGAGCGTGAGATTGATAGGCGGATTGGTGTTGCATCTGCAGTGATGCGGGCGTTGTACCGGTCTGTCGTGGTGAAGAGAGAGCTGAGTCAGAAGGCGTAGCTCTCGATTTACCGGTCGATCTACGTTCCTGAACTCACCTATGGTCATGAGCTTTGGGTAGTGACCTAAAGAACGAGATTGCGGATACAAGCGGTCGAAATGAGTTTTCTCCGAAGAGTGGCTGGGCTCTCCCTTAGAGATAGGGTGAGAAGCTCGGTCATCTGGGAGGGGCTAGGAGTAGACCTGCTGAGAGGAGCTAGTTGAGGTGGCTCGGGCATCTGGTCAGGATGCCTCCTGGATGCCTCCCTGGTGAGGTTTTCCGGGCACGTCCAACCGGGAGGAGACCTAAAGGTAGACCCAGGACACGGTGGAGGGACTACGTCTCTTACGTGGCCAGGAAATGCCTTGGGATTCCCCTGGAGGAGCTGGCCCAAGTGGCTGGGAAGAGGGAAGTCTGGGCCTCTCGCCTTAGGCTGCTGCCCCCGCGACCCGACTCCGGATAAGCTGATGAAAGTGGTTGGATGGATGGATGGATGTGTGAGAAATCACAACATTAGGAAATTGCTGCGGTGCTTTGTGCAGAAAAAAGATACAAATAAGAGATAAGCAAATATAGGAAGTAAGAATATAATCATGATAAAATAATAATATAAAGCAGCAATAATTAGAGAAACGGCTGCTATATACAAGACCGAGTAGGTACTGATCAGAGCGGAACAGTTCAGGCACAAACTCAACACAGGGTCATGTGACTGAACCAAGCGAGTGGAGTTGTCAGTCCTAGGATTATCATTCATGAGTCCCAACTGTAGAGGGGAAGTGTGTGTGTGTGTGTGTGTGTGTGTGTGTGTGTGTGTGTGTGTGTGTGTGTGTTTTAAACATGCTGTGCTAAGCTCTCACAGCCAGACAACTGTAACTTTGGAGCGCGCTGCTCCGGCAGTGACAGTGAAACATCTGGACAGCAGCTCGTCAGCTTGTGTAATGACGGACTGTACATACAACGTGCCTCACTCACATGCTGCCTCACTATGATAGCATGGATTTAGTGAAAGAATTACAGCTGTAGGCCGTAGTCCAGAAAGATGTCTGTTGAGTACCCCTGGTTTTGATCCTTAATATGGATATAACATGTAGAAAGACTTTTAGGATCTGGTGCATGTGTTTGTGATGGTTTGTTACAGATAGATTGTCCTTCTCACCCACCTTTCAGCCCCTTCTTCATATAATTAGTATGTGGTAGGATAACAGTCTTGCATAAATGAGTATTTATTGCCTAACTTTATGGCCCTTGTGTTTGAATTTGCACATGGAATTTGATGATAAGCACAGCTGACTAATAGGCTTGCTGCATGTTAGTGAAGCCCCAGGCTCAGCACTGTGTCTGCGACCTGTCATGATGAGCTTTTGTCCCTCTCTTTGCTTCTGCAGCAGCCAAAAGTTTGCTCAACAAGAAGCCAGATGGCGTTAAGGTGAGTTGTTCTGCATAAACTAAAGACACTGCCTTGTTTTTTGCTTTGTATTCTGAGAATGTTGATCGTTGGCTGGGGCCTTGTAGTTATAATTCGTGCACTTTTTAAAACATCATTCAGGGACAGTCACTGCAGTCTATGTTTTATGAAGTCTAATTTTCTTTACTTCTAGATATTTGGTGTTTGAGTTTTGTCGAGTTTCATTTTTGTCTGTTTTTTTCTGTGCATATTCTAGTTTTCAGGTAATTCAAGTTTATCATGGTAAACAATCCTTAAATCATTCTTAGAAGGCCCCGATTATGATCTAGATTCTTTGTGTGTTTTGGACCTTTATAATTATAAACATTAAACATTATAAACTTCTTACCTGTTGTGTATAGCTCTTTAAATACCTCACTTTGAAGAAATTCAAATTCCTTGTACCAGATTGATGAGCTAACTACTAGTCAGAGCAGGGCCAGTACAAAGTGGATTATTAGACATGTTTCCACAGATGGAGCTTCAGGGTGATTTTACCGGACTTCCCGGCATGCGTGTGCCTACACTTCACTGGGCCGGAGGAATGGGACGTTTTTCGGGCCATTTCTGGGAACTTTGGGAATACCTGAGCAGCGATAGGCACTTAGTCGCTAAGCAGAAGTTTTGGTTATCTCACACTGATTGATTAAACTGGTTATGGGACAGCAGGAGCTCAGGAGATAGAGCGAGTTCTCCATTAATAGGAAGGTTGCAGGTTCGATAATGGCTCCAACCAGAGAATGCTGCTCTTGTGTCCTTGGGCAAGATACTTTAACCACCTTGCCTGCTGGTGGTGGTCAGAATGTCACGTTGTGAGTCAGGAGGAGGTTTGGACCCAAAATGCAGACACCCCGAACGACATGAGGAAGGAGTGGATGTAAATGAAAACATTCCTTTATTAGGAAGTAGAACAAAAAATTCCAAAAGGGGCAGGAAGCCAAACACCTATGTCCTGAAACCCTGGAGAATGAAAGCTCACTTGGAGCACAAAACCTAGAGACCTAGTGACGAGGAACACAACAACGCTGACACTAAACAACGGACCGAAAAAATACTGACAGGGTTTTATACACTGGGGAGGATGAGAGGGAGATGAACTGCAGGTGTGTGGGGAGAGAGAGACCAGGTGAACTGAGTTACTAATCAGGAAGGAAACTAACATGACCTAAGAATAAAACCTAAAGACAAGAAGAGCAGGAAACCTAACTTAACTCATTCACTGCCATTGACGACAAAAGTCGTCATTTTAAATCCAAACTTTGAAAATTGCTGTCAGAAAACGCCTTTATTGGTCAGGAAACGTCTGGCAGTGAATGAGTTAATAAACACGAATGTAATGAACACATGCACCATAAACACTGAACAAAGGCGCAATGAACATGCTTAAAAACAATTTATTAACTCATTCACTGCCATTGACGACAAAAGTCGTGATTTTAAATCCAAACTTTGAAAATTGCTGGCAGCAAAGGGCTTTACTGATCAGGAAACGTCTGGCGGTGAATGAGTTAATAATCTAAGGGGGGAGAAAAACCTCAAACACCGATGGGAAAAACACACTAGAGAGACTAATAATATGAACAGCTGTAGCTAAAGGAAAATGACTTAAGAGAAAAACCTAAAGACCAGAAGGGCAGCAAACATAACTAATATTCTAAGGGGGGAGCTGAAACTGCGACGGTGGCACAGGAGTTAAATGCTCGCCCCGTAATCGGAAGGTCGCAGGTTCGAGCCCCGCTCAGTCTGTCGCTGTCGTTGTGTCCTTGGGCAAGACACTTAACCCACGTTGCCTGCTGGTGGTGGTCGGAGGGACCGGTGGCGCCAGTGCTCGGCAGCCTCGCCTCTGTCAGTGCGCCCCAGGGCAGCTGTGGCTACATCGTAGCTCATCACCATCAGTGTGTGAATGTATGTGTGAATGGGTGAATGACTGATTGTGTTGTAAAGCGCCTTGGGGGGTTCCAGGACTCTAGAAGGCACTATATCAAATACAGGCCATTTACCATTTACCATTTTAAAGGAAAAATACTACAGAAAGAAAAACTACAGGGGCGTGACTAAAGGGGGCCACGGGAGCACAGGGCCTGGGAGGGGGATATCTGAGGAGGGAAATCTAGAGGGCTGAAGATCTGGGGAAAAATGGAGAACACCAGGAGGAACACGCAGACAAGGACACATGAGGGCGCTAGGAGACACAAAAGGAGAACCTAGAGAGGGAAGGAGAACACAAGGAGATGCATGAGGTGGAGACTGGTGGCGCCTATGCTTGGAAAGCCTTGCCTCTGTCAGTTTGCTCCAGGGCAGCTGTAGGTACAGTGTAGCTCATCACCACCAGTGTGTGAATGTGTGAATGGATGAATGCTACTCTGTAGTGTAAAACACTTTGGAGTCCTCTGCCTCTGAAAGGCGCTATACAAGTTTGGGTCATTTATCATTAATCACACCACCAAAAAACGCATCGGAAACCCCCCACAACAACATCATTCACGGGGTTTTGTTGTCTCGTAGAGTGCTGTAAAAAATGTCACTTCTTCTGGCCAATGAACGCCCACATTCTACATCACACAGCAGCTCTCCACCCCCTGATTGATTAAATTACAGTACTTAAAGAAAATAAAACTTTTAATGTTTTTGGTGATGCTTTTGGTGCTGATCAGCGACATCACTCACTGCTGAACCAGTTGCAATGTGCGGACGTCTGTGCAAAGTCCTGAGAGGGCTGAATTGTATGGAGACACAGCAGCTGAGAGGACATCGTATCTCCCCCCTCCCAGACAACCCTGAAGTTCCGACAATGGAAACACGCCTATAACCATTTAAAAAAAATCACATCCAAATGCCAATTTCACTGTACAAAATAAAAAAAATTAGCATTTATGTAAAAAGAAACATTATTTTTTACGATAGAGTTGTTTTAAGCCAGCAAAAATTGCTTTGGGACTTAGTTCAACTATAATGACTAATTCCAGTGGACACACTTTCAACACTGATTTTGTTGTCTTAATTCCAATCTTCAAACTTTTCTAGTGATTTTTGCGGTTTTGGCTTTCCAAACTGAAGTCAAGTAAGCTATTAAATATTCATAAACCTTCCACAAAAATCTACAGGTGCAGTGTGTAAGAATAAAGTAAGATGACATTGTGTGGTCAAATAAGGTGACTGCAGTCAGTCTCTCACTCCTGTTTCATGGGTTTTGTGGCTGTTGCCAGTTACACATCAGCACCAGAAGATTCTAGATAACAAGCAAAGACGAGTCATATACATACAGTAAGTTGATAAGTAGATAAATACTTTTTCATAGCTAATGCTATCACTCTCGGGTGTTTTATGGTAGGAGCACTTACTACGCTTATTATGGTAATATGCCTCCAACATAGAGGAAGTGTTGTTTTTACCGTCTGGCTGGTAGCTTGCTCTGAATGATTTGTTTAGGGAAGTAAAACACCACGTTTGACTCATTATTCATGTGGCTGTAGTCAAATTACAAATGCCGGCGCTGTGACTTTAGCTTTCAGGAGACACGGCAACCCCACACTCACTCATTGACTGATTATAAACAGTAGCTAAATCCCTCCTTCCTTTATTTTGAAAGGAGAAAATCTGAGAAGGAAATATGTGTCAGTATCACCTTCCTTCCAACATGACTGAGACATTAGACTGTTTTGGGTTTATTTCGGTATAGAAATCTTACTCTAATCTTACACACTACACCTGAAAAATATCAGAATGACCCCTTTAAAATCTGACCTTTAATCCAAGAGAGATGTCTTTCTGGACAGTAATGTAGATTTGATGAGTTTTTTAATTCAGTGACTGTAGTTGGACCTGTGTGTGTCCTAATTAATGGCCTAAAGACCACAAGATTCATCTCAAATAGATACATTTCGCCAGCCGAAGCTCATATCTGGTCAGAATTATAAGACATTACTGTAAGATAAATATTTAGAAAACCTTTGACTATAAAAGAAGCAAATATAAATTAAGAAAATAAAATATATGCTCAATTTCTCTTTCTGGTTTTGTGACTTCAGATAAAAAATGACATAAATTCTCCAAAAACTTGCTTTTTAGTGAGGGAAAACTTAATTTGTCAGAGTCGGGAGAATCTTTTAAGGAGTATGGCCAAACAAACAAAAAAGCCTTTTCGAAATAAAGTGGAAGGATTTGTGTCACATTGGTTGGTTGTTAATAGTTTTATAGCAAATTTACAGTAAATTAAATGAAAAATTTCACATTTAATTTCATGTGTTTCAAAACATTTAGATTTTCCAAGTGTATAAAACATTGCACTGGTTTACCATAAACGAATACACAATAGAAAACACATAAAATGAGTTTCTGAACACACTCAGGCCTAGTCCACACGTAGCCGTTTTTTTTTTAAAACGAATATCCGTCCCTCCAAAAACTTGCATCCACACCACCTCGTTTTAAAAACAAAACTCTGTCCACACGTACCCGGATAAATACGTTGTTAAGGACATGCCAGACCTGTAGGCGGCAGTACTTCCCCCGTTCTTAACCTCGTCCTTCGTCTGTGGTCTTCCGCAAGGAGCAGTAATTCTGCTTGCAAAAACAAACAAGCAAAAAGCGCTTGGACGATTGATAAAGCGAGCGCAGCTCTGAGGGCATCCATGCTGTCGGCTAATGTAAACACAGGTCGCACACGTGATGTCAGCATTTTTCTGTCGCGGAAAGTGACGTTTTGTCTGTCCACACGCAGACACCCAAAACGGAGAAAACGCAGATCTTCACTTTGGCCGGAGTTTTTAAAAAGACCCGTTTTCGTGTGGATGACAGGCCAAAACGTAGAAAAATATCTACGTTTTGGCAGATCCCTGGCTACGTGTGGACAGGGCCTCAGTGATATTAAAAAAAGAGAAACACCCCTTTTGTGTTTTACAGCGTCAGAACACTAAAAAAACCTGCTGTTTATCTGATGCATGAGTAGAGAACTGCTCTGTTAGTCTCACTTATACATGTTTAGAACCAACTCAGTTTTCTTTTGTCCCATCTGTACGCCTCTCTCACACAGTTGTTCTTTGTAATCTTGATGCATTTCATTGAAAACTGTGGACATTTGTTTATGCACAGAACCTTTAATGATAGTCAGACACACTAAGTTGTGTTTTTCTTCAGAATAATTTTTATGCAGTAGATTTCATGCCCGACTGCAGATTTTCTTGCTGATGCAGACATCCTACACCGCTCATCTAGAAAACAACGTATGTCCACACCAAGAACAAGAGCACAAAAACAGGCCTGGACCTTTTGTGTGTGTTCTGAGTGTTAGCTAAACGAATATAAGCTACTTATGTCTGGCTCGCCACTCCCTTAAGTGTTGGCATCATCTTACTGTATTAAAACCAGGAAACTATGTGTGTAAGACCAGACTTCATGCCGCATCTTATTCTAACTGAAATCATAGTGAGTCGTTGGGTGTTTGCACCTGAGTGATTGTAGTACTAGACAAAACAATCCCAGCTGGTTTAATGTACTCCAAAGGTCAGATAGCAACTGGAGCAAAGTGACCCAGTTCAGATAATCCAACAGTCCATGATGTCACTGTCAGATCTTTTGGAATATTTCTGCCTTTTGCACATTCAGACATCAGGATAAACATACCAGCCAATCCACTACTGTAAACATTAGCAGTTCTTTTGAATTATTGTTATGAACTCTGCAAATGTCAGGTTAAAATAAACACTCAAACATGCTTGAAAGTAAGATTCTAGAGCAGAATCCAAAATTCCCCTTTAAAGTGAACAGTTTCAAGCTAAATACTAATATTTGTTGGGCCGATTGGAAGTCCATACTCTTATGAGACAGCCTCGAGAAAAGCTGGGGAAAAAACACAAATATGTTCAGGTGTAAACGTGCATGTCTTTGTATTTAAAGCTAGAGAGAGAAATCATGGGACAATGACCTTCCACTTATTTGAGAATACAGAATACAGATATTACTATTTCACCAACACAATGATCCTTTTATTGAATTTGTCCAATTCATGCAACTTCAAATGAAACAAGTTATAACTCTCATTCTGAACTAAAACTGTATTTCTGTGTAGTAAAATCTGATTGCATAACTTTACAATCTACTAATTTGGTCTTGATTTTTCTTGCTGCAGCAGTAAAAAAAAAAAAAGACAAACTAGGGTTTTAACGCAAACGCAGAACACTCCTCTCGGGAATCATCCCTGAGGCGTTTCTGCTGGAACTGGAAACCTGTGATGCTGGACGATACGAGATAATTCCAATCACCAGTCGCCATTTTCTAGATCCAAATGTCTTTTGATGTCTGTGACTTCACATGGTGCTTTACTTTTTGGGACTCTGGCAGTTTGTCCTAAAGTTGAAATGGTAGCAGCCGGCTGTTTCTCCTTCTCTGATATTATTAAGTAGAGAACCACTCACACCAGTGGTGTTCTGTTGCTAGTTACACTAGTGTTTAGTGAACAGAGGACTCAGGGAAGTGCGTAAGTGAGGCGGTTCGGCCAGACCGACAACCGGATGGTCCAATAGTTTTGGTCCGAAACGTGTTATTGGTGGAGGTTTTTAGACAAATGCAAGAAAACCACTTTAGTAATTGTTTATGTTTTTTTTATTCTCCACAATATATTTATAGCTATACTATACTAAACTATATACTATGTTAGAACTACATACTATGTTAGAATGTTTTTAAAAGGCATGAAAACATGTTTAAGCTAATTTGTTTACCAAATTTGCTATTGCAGCATTAAAAGTTATTGTTTGAAATATTTGTTAGTTTCTCCCCCAAAAGTATTTTATTTCCTGTTGTGCATCCAGTACAGCTTGGCTTCATTCGTTAGTTTTCCAGCTGATGCAGAACATTCCTCTCACGTGCATGTATGATTTACTGTGCTGTGTAAGCTATGCGGTTTGATTAATGTCAGTGTGAACCTGTACACTCAAATCTTTGAGACATGAGTTAGGTGTATCTCTTGGGAACGGATGGGAGCCGGTGTGCAGGTGTGTGAGCCTGAAAGGTGTGTGTTATGTCCCTTCTACACTGCTCCCTGCAGGTCAACAACAAAGCCAACACAGTGACCAGTCCTAAAGACACTGGCCCTGCCCCCGCACTGGTATACACACTCGGTCTCATCCCCACACACACATCTTCTTTCACTAAAGATCTAAACCTCACATCCAGCTTTGAACGAGGTTTAGCTTCTCCATTGCTGTAGTGTCAGATCATTCATGATCTCCAGCTTGCTTGGTGAGATTTAAATTCTTTATTAGAGTCATGATAAAATCAAGAGTAGTAACACGAGGTGAAACAGCTCAATGTCAGGCTTTCCCTGAATGAAATTAAAGCATTCACGAGTGCACAGCATGTCCCACCTCTGAAACTTTGATATAGAAAGACAAAAATCATCTTGATGCATCCATTTGTTTAGTTTTCAGAAGTACCAGCATGCATGTGCTGTGTAAAGCTCGGCTGGTCTGGATTTGTGCGATATTTTGTCTGACAGCCATTTAAGCATATTGGTATTTGGTGTTTGTGGCATTAACTTTGTTATTAGGTCAGTTTTTACGTCAACCTGCAACTTTTATTCATCCAAATCCCCTTCTTTCCATTTCCATTTCACGAACAAACGCCCCGTACTTTGCTCCAACCATTTTTGTAAGAATTTTCAGGATGTGTTGCTGACATACTGTAGCTCACCCCCGTGCATGGCTGCAAGGAATAACAGGATATTTGCTCCTCGGTTTACTCTCATCAACTGTTTTTGTTTGTTTTTCATATGTATGTGACGTCTGCTCATTGGCTGTCAGCCAGGTCACATGACCTGTGCTTTGCATGATGATAAAGGTTTTCTGTTCCGTCATTTGCTGACAGTTTGGATGTGCACGGACATGAGGAGCATGACATCTGGCTCTTTATCGCTCTCAATTCTTATCTTTGTCTTCATAATCATGTGATGCACACACACACACACGCACGCACCAAAGCACACACACATATTAAAGACAGCTGATGCTGTAACAATCTAGCGTAATCTGGGTGAGCGATTAGAGACCAAAGGCATCATCAGGATCAAGTCCACAAAGTTCAGACATCAGATAGATAGATAGATAGATAGATAGATAGATAGATAGATAGATAGATAGATAGATAGATAGATAGATAGATGATAGATAGATAGATAGATAGATAGATAGATAGATAGATAGATAGATAGATAGATAGATAGATAGATGATAGATAGATAGATAGATAGATAGATAGATAGATAGATAGATAGATAGATAGATAGATAGATAGATAGATAGATAGATAGATGATAGATAGATAGATAGATAGATAGATGATAGATGATAGAAGAGAGAGAGAGAGAGAGAGAGAGAGAGATAGATAGATAGATAGATAGATAGATAGATAGATGATAGATAGATAGATAGATAGATAGATAGATAGATAGATAGATGATAGATAGATAGATAGATAGATAGATAGATAGATAGATAGATAGATAGATAGATAGATAGATAGATAGATAGATAGATAGATAGATAGATAGATAGATAGATAGATAGATAGATAGATAGATAGATGATAGATAGATTTCCATAAACATAGTCTATACCATTATAATCCTGTATTGACCTAATCCCACATGTTCTTCCTTCATTTGTCCTCTTAAGGAGCCACAGACCACCGTGATCCACAACCCTGTTGATGGAAACAAGGTAAAATAACAAAACCTTTCACCTTGCTGAACACTTTCACCATTTCTCAGTTACAACTAACAAGAATTGTCTGTCAGGAATCCATTGAAAGTGCCAACACTACCATTGAGGATGAAGATGTAAAAGGTAGGAGGAACTCAACCCCACACCAGCTTAGCACCCAGCTTCTTCACATCATTATGTCTTCACACAGTTTATAGAAAGTTAACAAATGCATCTCCGCTCTGGTTGTTAACTCTTCTTTCAAACTGGTTTTTAGTTTATTTTTCCTCTTTCTTTTTTAACCTGACTTGTTCTTGAATGCATCTTCTGTCTTTCATGTTTGGTTTCAGGTAAATGTTGTTGTTGTGGTTGTGTGTTTTCAGTATTAATGACTGCTTTATCGTGTGAGCTGATGTATCTTAGCCAAATGTCTTCAATAAATGTAAAGTCTAGTAAGTGGACTGCTAACTGTAACCCATGCCCCTACTTCACACAGGAAGCATCAGCGGCACAGCCCAGCAGCGAAATATCACTGCTTCAGTTAGAATTATATTATATTATATTATATTATATTATATTATATTATATTATATTATATTGTATTATATTATATTATATTATGTTATATTGTATAATATTGTATTATATTATATTATATTGTATTGTATTATAATATATTGTATAATATTGTATTATATTATATTATATTATATTATATTGTATTATATTATATTATATTGTATTATATTATATTATAATATATTGTATAATATTGTATTATATTATATTATATTGTATTATATTATATTATATTGTATTATATTATATTGTAATATATTATATTATATTATATTATATTATATTATATTATATTATATTATATTATATTATATTATATACTTAATACTTAAATTATAGTCTAGAGGGGGGATTCAAACCAGCACTGTCCTATCTTCAGCAGTGTAGCGGGTTCTATTTTTGCTATGAGCCACTTCTGGGTCACGTCAATTTCCACAGTTAACATAGGGCTAGACAGGAAATCACATATAGTTTCAGTGTAAAAAAATCCCTTTAATTTTCAAAATAAAAGACTATTGCAGCGATGCAATTTCATATCTTCATATTCTTCTTGGTTTAATGGTGGATGGCAGAAGCAAACCGTAACCTTTGAAGTCTCGAGGGATTTTGTGATCTTGCAAGTCCAGCGAGGAGCATGGTAGAGAGGCCGCTCTACGGCTGAGATCCCCCCAGTGTGTGCTGGCATGTAGCGAAAGTCACAAGTAAACTGCTCTGCGCCGCTAATGCTTCCCGTGGGGGTAACCCTTTAACTCACAGAGCTGGTTACTGTGATAGATCACAGCCACTCATCAGCGAAAGCAATTAGTCAGGTGTTTGCTAAGATTTAAAAATAAACAAAGAAGGCTGGGCAGTCACTACTAACAATCTTATCACTTGGCTTTTAAAGGAATCCTTCCAAAACCAAAAGTGATCACATTTCTGTCGGTAATAACTGACCAAAAATCCAGCAGATCTCTGATATCTAGGATCACCATTTCTATCTTTCTCTGTTTTTATTTTTTCTTGTTTGTTTGTTGTAAATATCTATTTATGTTTGATACATCCCAACACACAGATAGGAGACAAAACTGCACACACCACTCATGCACACTCATCAGTCCCACACCTGGGCAGCTTAGTAAGCAGAATAATGAGATATCTCACTTCTACCTCCTCAGTTCAGACAGGTCTTTCTACTCCTAAACCCCCATTCCCAGCAAAACCAATCCCTGTTTGTGACTTCCATATATTTGCACCTTCCGGCCAGTTTATTCCTTTGTTTAAAAAAAAAAAAGCATAATGGAAACAGTTGCACACACAGTATGTGCAGGGAAATGAAAATGGACTAGTCTAACATGTCTCTTTTGTTGCACATTTAATTTAAGTATTTTTTTCAATATTCCCCAGCCTGCACCAATAACAATAAAGGTAACTGTCCATATTACTTAGTTAAAACTACTTTAATAGTAAATAGTTTGCATCTGAATATTGTTTTGTATGTCTATTCTGAGCTTTGTTGGGTGAAAGAAATCCTCTCATGCTGCATTTTCCTGCATGAAGTCACTATTAGTCATGGAAGGTCTTTTTTCTTTTATATTTAAATATTTGAAATCAAAAATGTAAATTGTTCATTTTATTTTTTGAGTGCCTTCCATTTCTAATATTGTTGAAATCCTGCAGATGTGTAGAGTAGAAACCATTTCAACCTGATTTGATGTCAGATTGTTTATATTGGACCTGAGATGTTTTATTTCAATTTGTTGACAATGATCTGATTTTTTTGTTGCAGCTCGTAAACAGGAAATTATTAAAGTGACCGAGCAGCTGATCGAGTCTATAAACAATGGCGACTTTGAATCCTATGCGTAAGTTCTTCACCTTTAATTATAAAGTGATTAGTTTACCTTTTTGTTTGAAGTTGGATTTTTTTGTCTGACAGGAAGATTTGTGATCCTGGTTTAACTTCATTCGAGCCTGAAGCTCTGGGCAATCTGGTGGAAGGACATGATTTTCATCGTTTTTACTTTGAAAATGGTGAGTTCAAGAGCATTAATTATGAGGGATGAGCTCAGATCATTCAGATTTCCCAACAAGACATTTATAAGTTAAGGTCAGTAGCTCAACAGGCTTACAGGTTGTCCAGTAATTGGAAGGTTGCAGGTTCAATCCCGACTCCGGACAGAGAATGCTGCTGTTGTGTCCTTGGGCAAGACACTTAACCCACGTTGCCTGCTGGTGGTGGTTGGAGAGACCGGTGGTGCCTGTGCTCGGCAGCCTCGCCTCTGTCAGTGCGCCCCAGGGCAGCTGTGGCTACATCGTAGCTCATCCCCACCAGTGTGTGAATGAGTGTGTGAATGGATGAATGATTCACTGTAGTGTAAAGCGCTTTGGAGTCCTTACTCTGAGAGGTGCTTTACAAGTGCGGGTCATTTATCATCTGCAGCAATATGATGTAGGTTTTTGGAGCTGATCTTTGGGTCGACTATGATTTTTTGTGGTCTGCCACTTCGGACCTTAACTTTAACTGTGTCTGTGGTCTTCAATTTCCTCACTATGTTCCTCATAGTAGGAACTGACAGCTGAATTCTCTGAGACACCAGATCAGATGAAACAACGACAAAGTCGAAAATCGAACTGCGGCTTAAGGCATCCTGGTGCCGAGAGCACATATGGACAGCTTTATGTCTGAACACGGTGTTCATTATGGACAATTTATGATGAGCAAGTCCAATAACACCCACACCTCTCCGGGTCTCACTGTTGTTGCCCACATGAGGGTGGGTAGTCTGACCTGCACAGACAACAGTCCGGACCTGTCCTCTCTTACGTAGGCAGAGGGAGGCTACCCTCTTGCGCTCCGGGGTCAACTCCAACGTAATGGCACCAAGGCACAATAATTAGTGCTAAATATTTTCAAATCAATAAAACAATAGTGCCCAAATGTATGTGCGAGCCTAATTTTGTTTAATTAATTATTGCACACTTTCTGTAAATCCAATGAACTTCATTTCACTTCTCAAATATCACTGTGTTCACCAGTTTGATTATGTAACTGAAATTTCTGACCCAAACAACAAAGGAAAATCATGTAAATTATAAAGGGTGCCCATACTTTTTCACATAACTGTTGCTCCAAGTACAACAAGACTCGTCTCAAGGCCCTTTCCAAGGCAAAGTACTCATCAGTGCACTGAGTTCAGTTCATTATACCAATTAGTTATCTAATTGTCTTATTATCTAAGGAAACCCTGTAGATTAAAACGACTCCCTGACTAGTGTCAGTGTCTTTACAGCAATCCCCATATTAAGCAAGCATGTAGCGACAGTGGAGAGGAAAGCTCCTCTTCAACAGGAAGAAATCTCCTACAGAACCTGGCTCAGTATGACCAGCCATCAGCTGTGACTGACTTTGGGTTTGAGAAGACAGGCAGATGAGCCCGTAGCAGTACTTTCTATTTTAAATAAAGTAAAAAGAAGAAGAATGTTCACTAGTTGGTAGTACTACACCAGCTGATGGCCCCCACCAGGATGGTCTCACAGCTAACAGGTGGTTTATGTTAGCACCCTCTGCCAAAACCAATGTCTGAGTCTGAAAAGTGGTGCAGAACACTTTTTAATAAGTTCTTCTTTGTGTAATTTAATCAAAAATATCAGAACCACTAAACACGTAGAAACTGCAGTGATGTAATTGTTCATAGATTATATTCTTGAAATAATATAAATGGGGCATATCTGCATGCTACTTGAATTATTTGCACAAAATCGACGTGTAGCACTCTCTGTTTACGGTTTGTGTTTGCCACATTACAAGGGCACGGGCTTACCTTGGAGCAAAAACTCACTAATGAATAATGGTTGCCATAAATGGCAGAATGTTCTCAGAATGGGTAAAAATAGTTCAGATAAACCAGATTTGTCCCAGAAACCTCAATCACTTGGCAAGCCTGTGCTGGCCCACAGTCCAACATCAACATATGGAGACTGCAGCTCCTCGTACAGTATCAGTTTTTATTACAAAGAGGGATCAGTGGCTTGCTTTTGAGCAGTCACGAAGCTGTGTTAGGTTATTTCATTAGATTATGTAAAAGGTGTTATTTCTTGTATTTTCTCTATAATCTCTTATTTGCAGCGCTGTCTAAAGGGAATAAGCCGGTGCACACCATCCTCCTGAACCCACATGTGCACCTCATCGGGGAGAATGCAGCATGCATTGCCTACATTCGGCTGACCCAGTACATGGATTGCAGCGGCATGCCTCGCACCATGCAGTCCGAGGAGACTCGTGTGTGGCATCGCCGTGATGGAAAGTGGCAGAATATTCACTTCCATCGCTCAGGCGCACCCAGCATCCCCTCCCAGTAAGAGACCACTGTTGCTTAACTCATTTACTGGATGTAAATACATTTAACAGATTATATGAATAATATCATTGAAGTTTTGTTGTTTTTTTAAATTCCTACCTTCCAACTCTGCTAGAGACAATTGCTAAGACCTACAGATCACGTATGTCTATTAAGTAATGATAATGTGGAGTTCTTACTCACTCCACATTATCAATTAACCGGTCAACCAACCCAAACAATCAACCAAAACCTTAAGAAAAACATTTTTAAGGTAGTAAAACAATGTTGTAAATTAAATGTTATTAAAATTTGAAATCTAAAAAAGATGCATACAACTTTTGGTTACATTAAAGGACCTGAAAACCTTGATTACTTGTAAAATATATATATAAAAAAAGATAAATAAGACACACCAATGCAGTAAGTGTGAGGGTCTCCTTATTTCTGGTCTTAGGAATTGTGCAGCTGAGTTTTTAGCTGCTCGGCTAATGAAATGTGGTCTTTGTGAAGTTTTATTGAGGTGTGGAAAACATAAGCGACTTGCAGGGGATAATAACTCAGAAAATACATAAAATAGCCATGTAGCACTAACACACAAGTATTGTTTTCCATATGTCCCTGCTCAGACACACCTGATTCTAATTCCATTTTTGGATCTTTTTTAAAACACAGCAAAGGTTTCTCTTTACCTTGCTGCCAGTTTCGTTTGCGTCTGCAAACATCCTCAGAGCTGACGCTGTACACAGAAAGAACGCACCAAAGACACCTGATTCTAACTGCTGAATTTCCTTCTCAGCCTTCTCGTTTGAATGAATTTTCAGTGAAACGTCTACAATCGACAGAAAACCAGCTGTTGCTCTGGGAGCACACTGCTGATAATGTTGCTTAGAACTAAAACAACAGTTTGATGATGCACAAGACTGAACGCTACGCTAATCTCTTCGTTCTAATTCACACAATACACAAAAGCAAAATACATTTTCATTCCCCTACTTCCACAGCAAGCTTTAAATTTACAGAGTGACATTAATTCAGTGCTGGTCGAGTTAGCATTCAACATGGTTGGTTAGCTAAGCTGGGGACTGGGGCGAGAGCCCCCAACTGTGGAAACACAGCTGTATTGGTCAATACTCTGTAGAGTATTAGGCTCATGTAAATTATTTGTTGTACTGCCAATGCCAGGGAAGGGACTTAGGGAAAATCTAAATAATGAAAGATTACCTTCTTAACATACCGTAAATCCTCTAATACAGACCCGGGCCTGTATTTGACTCAAGCTCACCAAGCTCCAGGCCTTTATTGGAAGGTGGACCAGAATTAGAGGCAGGCCTCTATTTCTATTTGAGCAAAATGAACTAATGGTTCGCTGGAGTTTTTGACAATTAAAATTGCGCCCACATTTTCAAAGTTAAACACATTTCTTTTAACAACGGTAGTTTCTGCTTCAGCCCTCTCCCCCCTCCCCCTGCGCAGCGGCCGCAAACTCACTGATGCGCCTGCAGCCTCTCGGAGTTCCTGCTGCTCTAAACATTAAAATAATTATTTCATTTTCTGTTCCTCACTTCTGATTACCTTCAATGGTGTCTGTTTGTTGCAACCACCAGGTACAAAAACTAACTTGTTTTTATTTGACTATTTTTCTGTCCTGTCTGTTTATTATCTTCCTGCATCTCCTCTCAATCCTAAAGAAAAACTGCTACCTGGGTTCATATATATTCACCTTATGAGTTACCTTTGAACTGCAGTTCTAAAAGATCTACCGACCGCAAAAACAGCGGAGTGCTCGCTGCTTGCCGGCCGCATCAGTGATCGGTGCGTCACCGGATGACAAGGTGATACGCCCTGATCCACAGGGAAACGCATCAGGCACAAATAAAAGACAGAAAACATTAAAGGAAATGAACCGACATGAACGATCGCGTGTCAGTACCGACGCTCTGGCACAGCGCGTTGCCCCCCCGAGCGCAGGAGCTTGTCACCTGCTGGCAGCAGGCTGCTGTCTTTTCCGAGGGCTGCATCTTGCCGGTCATTATCACGTGACAGCAACTAGTCGATGACAGGCATAAAAAGTCACTATAGTGAAGTCGACTAGTTCATACAACCCCTATTGCTCCCCAGTGTTCTGCAGCGCACGTTCTCTTTGAACTTTATATCAAATTTTCGCCTCCTCTTCATCTCCGCACAGTTAAAGTTACCCTCGCGGTCTATCACTGGCAAATCAAAAGTGAGACGATGACACAACCGCCCCCCGTACTTGCTTGTTACCACATTCCACCCGGCCACAATAAGAGACCGGCCATTATTCACCTCCGCCGACTCCGACACCGGCCAAAATATGATACCTGGCCATTAATTGAGTACAGGCCTGTATTAGAGGATTTACGGTAATAGAACAGGGTTAGATATGAAATATACTTTAAACATTTAAAACTACACACCTCAGCTTCAAGTGTTTTCTACCTCCACTCACACTCAAGCACACAGTCACACTATTGTCCTTTTATACATGTATAAATGAATGGAAACCAGTTTTCCCAATAGAAACACTATTGTAACAATTTGTTCGATTTGAGAGTCGTGTTAAAAAGAAAGTACACCCACCCTGTTAAAAATGATATAAACCATATAAATGATCTTTGTCAGGTGCACAAAAACACAGATGGCATCAAATTAATGCTAAAACAAAAAGAAAAAGCTGGAGTGAAAGAATAAATATTTTCTTGTTGTTTTTGTTTAATTCAAGAGGGAATCTAGCTGCAGGTGTTAATGACCTGATATTTTAGTGTGATCACCTTTGTAAAAACAGACATTTGGTGGTGTGTCTGGAGCGTAAAGGTGCATGTTTACACAATGCCAAAGAGGAAGTTAGGACACCGAAAATCCCTTTAGAGAGGCAGTTGTTGCTTTCTATCCTTCTGGGAAATGCCGAAGGTCGTTTCCAAAACATTAGAACTCCGTCATCCTAGAGTCAAAGATTATTCACCAGTTAAAACGTTTAGAACAGCCGGCAACCTTCCAAAGTGATCTCCATCTGACTGTTCTCAGATAAACTGTAGAAATGAATGAAACCAAGACTTCCATTGCAGACTTTACAGAACCTACAGAGCTCAGTTAAAGGCGATGATCGGATAATTAGAGGAAGACTGAGCAAGTGCAGCTTATTTGTATATGTTACAGGTGAAAACACCTTCTCTGTAAAGAGAACATGGCAGCATGACTTTAGGAACGTTTCAACTGAATGAACCACATTTTGTCTGCTGGATAAATGAGACAACAGAAATATTTACCCATAATGCACAATTCCATGTTTGGTGTATACTCACAAGCACAGCGGTGGAGGGCTAATGATTTGGGCATGTCAAACACAATCTCCTCTGTAGACCAAAGTAGTCTGGTGTGAGACCATCTGCCCTGACACTAGTGCAGTAGTGATAGATATGGCCATCGGCAACCACCGAGTGGCCCGTTTAGACTATGATGTTAAACTCTGTGAAACAGTGATCTGCCAGTTATTTTTGTGCTCTTTTTGTCTTGCAGTTAATGGAATATCATTGTTGTGGAAAGAAACTAAATCCTATCAGCAAATCTAGTGGAGCGGTCAACTAGCCAACCCCCTGACTGCCCTTCAGACCTTTGACCCTTTCTGTAAGGACATGATGTTGCACAGGACACAAGCATTATTACATTTTACTGTTATGACATTTTACGAATGAACTGTTCTCTAAACCACCACCGGGTGGCAGCACACCGTATTTGGACATAATGAAACAAACATATTAAGAACATTTTTTGTTTATTTGTTTGTTTGTTTTCTAAAACAGTTTTGGTATGCATTTTAAATATAAAACAGATGTTTAAAGATTTACTGTAACCTCTCCCAAAAAAGGATTAGTTCTGTATTTTTACGTGTATTTCTGTGTGTGCAACCTTAAAACTCTTGAAGAATGAGAATCTTAAACATGGAGCTTGCTTTAGTTCTGGTGATGTATATACAGTACATTGTGATTGCTGAAAACAAACAAAACTCTTAAACTGCTATTCTTCCTAACATGACTTCAAAGTTTATGTAAAATGGAGCAAAATTGAGTTATGAGCTACATTTCTGTTTGCTATGAGCTAAGTCATACTGTTTCAATGGTCAGATTTTAATCTATAGTACTAATTTAAATATTAAGAAAAGCAGATCCGCTTCCACTTTGCATTGACATGTTTGCCTTTATATCAGTGAAATAAGAAATAAGAGAATGTAGCATATATGTAACATATGAAAACTAAAGACTATTGTGTAGTGCATGGTGGGGGAGGGGGCAACCACAAGTAAGAAACTATAAAATCTGCTGTTTAATTTGTCAGTCCCTGACATGTCTGTCTGCATTTGTTCTTGCTGCGCATCGGTCCCGTTGCAAATGTTTCCAATGTCCTCCGGTTTCAAGGGCGTAAAGGCTGTAAGACGAAGTTTTAAATAAGGACACCATTCCGGTTAACGTCCGGCACAAACATCAGAACCTTACGTTAAACAGGAGGAAACAAGTAAAACGAAACCCTGGAAGCACCTTCATGATTTTGTACAAAAACAAGAAGCTCATTCTTCACTCTGTACTTGTGTCGTGTGCCTGTGTGTGTCGCGTTTCTGTTGTCATTCTAAAATTCGTGTCACATCAGTGTGTTGCTTGCCAGCTGCAAAGAGAAGATGCCGATTATAAAATGAAGTAAGGATTTGGGATTTCAGCCCCGTGGAGCGAACACCTGTTGGAATGCTGAGGTCCGATCACAATGATGGGATGTCTTCCTCGCTGATCAGTGCTTCTGCTAGCCAGTGGTCTCACCACGGTGGGACAATGACGTCCACGTTGTCCCTCACTGTTTGCTATTTCCAGTTGGTTTGTCTCTTCTTTTTTTCTGAGGGGAAAAACATGATAAATGTTCATTTTGACCAAAAGTATGATGTCAGTGCAATGCAACACTCCTCATATGTTGTGTAATTATTGCCAGCATGGCAATGGATGGCTTAACATGTTTAAAAAATAAATATAGATACAAATGAGTTTGAACTTGATGAGTTGTCTTCTATCAACAGGAACAGTGTGGCGCTGCTGTGATGTTAATTCCTCTCCTTATACATGATTAAAATACATAATCAGAATTAAAACAAACTGTCCTAAAGTCCTAAACCACTTCTAAAAGCTTCATTCTCCATCGCCTTATGTCACAAAATTGATGCAGTTAATGTGTTTAAAGGCTACGTGAACTGAGAAACCGTGTTCTACTTATTATTGAGGTGTGATGGGTCACTTTGAGTTCCACATGCCGTCTAAATGTGAAAATAGTCTCCTACCTCTGTTTCATGCATTAGACACTGACTGGAAAATACATGGGGAAACACTCAGATGAGAAAAGCCAGCGACATTAGCACGTCTTTTTGTTAAATTAGCAATGATGGACTCGCCCATGTTGGCTCACGACTGGACAGGCAGAACTCCCTTCAGGCTTGTGTTATTTGTGAAAAGAAAACATTAACATTGCAAAGCAAACAGTCAGTGCTAGAGTTGTGTTGCTGTTAGCTGTTAGAGGTGAGATGTCTGAATTTTAGGAAGTAAAACCCCAAGTCCTATCGTGCTCTGCTCCCCACTCCTCTGGCTCTCTTCAACTTCCTGAAATAGGAGTGCAAGGGCATTTTTCCCACAGAGATGGACTCACAAATGGTAAATGGTCTGTATTTGTATAGCGCCTTCTAAGGTTTCTACAACCCCCCAAGGCGCTTCACAACACAATCAGTTATTCACTCACACACACACAAATCACTGATTTATGCTAGTGACCAGTGATGCCAGTACACATTATTCTAAAATGACCACTTTTTTCAGTAATGACTAATCTAACGCCTTACTATTTCCACATCAGTAAACAGATGAATGGCTTTGGATTGGTTACCTCCATCCATCCATCCATTTTCTGAACCCGCTTTGTCCACGCAGGGTCGCAGGGGGGTGGGGGGACTGGTGCCCATCTCCAGCGGTCAACGGGCAATCAGGCGGGGTACACCCTGGACAGAGAGCCAGTCCATCGCAGGGCAACACAGAGACACACAGGACCAACTATCATGCACACACACACACACACACACACACACACACACACACACACACACACCTAGGGACAATTTGGACAGACCAATCAACCTAACAGTCATGTTTTTGGACTGTGGGAGGAAGCCGGAGAACCCGGAGAGAACCCACGCATGCACAGGGAGAACATGCAAACTCCATGCAGAAAGATCCCAGGCTGGGAAGCGAACCCAGAACCTTCTTGCTGCAAGGCAACAGCCCTAACCACTGCGCAGCCCAGATTGGTTACTTTGCCAAGAAATGATGCGTTGCTGGTTACTAGGTTTTTTTTGTTGTTGTAATTTTTTTTGTTTTGTAAAGATATTAAACCCAGCTACAGGAATAGCTATTAACTGTACAAATTGCCTCAACATAAATAAGTTTGGCTATGCTCACAATAGATGCTAACTGTTAGCACTGGGAAGAATGCTAGAAGTTACTCAGTAACTGTAACCAAGCCTTTCAACCTCATGAAAAACTTGCAAATCCAATTAGGACTTTCTGACCAACACAAATATGTGTATGATGCGCAAACCAATTTTATGTCACATCATTGTGATAAATGCCACATTTTAAAATGTAAGTGGGTTTCTGGAGGTCACTTCAATGTCGCTCTCTAGGTTTTTCATGGCCCCAAATCTGGGACCAACTAAAGCTGAAAATGTGTCGTCCACACAACCTGCAAAGAGCCACAGAACAGCAAAAAAATAAATAAATCACAAATAATCCCCTGAATTACTTGATGATTTCATTTTTTTAAGAAAATGTTGGTAATTAAACTCAAGACGTAACAAAACCGACACCATAAATTGGTAGACTTTTATTTCTATCAGCCATAAATACACTGCAGCCGGTTTGTATTTACTTTTTGAAATCTGATACAGTAACACATGCCCTCGAAGATATTTATATATATATATGTACTGTATATGTATATGTAACTGTCATCACAGAAAAGGGATGCTGATCTTTCAAATTAAAAGCATACTGTCACAGTGAACTTTGCCTAATTTGCATCTGACATTTTTCTAAATGGCAAAGAAAGTGAGAAGTGATGTAAATACACGTGGTGGGTACATAAAGGAACAGAGCTGTGTAAAACTGATTATTGAGCTTTTACTCGGATGCTTTTAGTATCGCTGCAGAACCTAATAACCTGTGCACAAAGCGTGGAGGTGTTCTCGCCTCACATTCAAGAGTGCAAAAGCAGTCAGTGTAAAATAAACAGCACACGTTCTCTTTCACCACACGCTCGCTCACACGGTCTTATCCAAAATGTGAACTAATAAAAGTTTAAAATAAAACAGGAAACACCTGATTACTTTTTCACAAAGAAATGTAACAGTAGAACAGCTGTGATTGTTCTGTTACTCGGTGACAAACTGAGGACTTTTGAAAAGAAACAATCAGTCTAAAATATATTTTGAGCAACTAAAAAAAAGACATTTCTAAACAAAAGTTTACACATTGTTAAAGATAAAGTACTGAAACCAGCAGTCACTGCAGAAGTCTGGTTAGTCACATTCACCATCCATACAACAGGAGTTAAATAAATAAATAAAACATAATAAAAAAAAGAAACAGAGAGGGAAAGGAACGTTTAAATGTCAAAGCTGGGATCAAACTGACAGACGTTGATTAGCCATGCCTTTTCTACTAGATGGGTGATTATTAATCCTAGGCTACAGCTTTTTCTGATTATAGATAATATATCATTATCAAAGACAAGAGTACACGTAGTCTACACAAAACACGACAGCAGCTGTTAGCATAATCAGCTTTTCTGTTAGTGACATCATCGCCTGAACCAATGAAAACAAAAAGCAGAAAGGAAATGGTTTCAGTTTTCGGAGCCAGTGCAAAGTGGAATCCTGTCTCATCGTCTGAGGTTTGTGAGTTAGATCTGAACAGTTTTTATTCTTTATCTACCAAATGTTCAAGACAAAATTAAGATTTCTACATTCAAAGTAAAATTAATCAGGGTAACAACTGAAGGCTTTCTTTGGTCATAAAAAAGGCAAAAAAAAAAAAAACTCCACAAGAACATCAAAAATAAAACTCGGAAATATATATTACTACAGAAAAAACTCGTCTACGAGAACAACAATGCCATCTTCCAGGGCTAAAATGGGAAAACTGGTTTCTCTGAGGTGTACACTGGGATTGCATGTGGAGAATGCATAGGATCAGCAGGGACTTCAGCGTGGATAGAGCAGGGGGAGAAGGGGAGAGAGTTCCTTATTCTTCTACTCTTTGTTCTTTGTTTTCTTCTTGTTCGTAGCAGCGGTGAAAGAGCGGGTGGAGTTGCTGCAGGAGATCACGGGCTCTGGGGGTGTCCACTTGCTCTGGGAGGACTTGTCGGCTCTGTCCATCTCCCTTCACCACTGTTTGTTTGAGGATGTTAGATTTACGCATGCGGGCCCTGAAGACAAATCAGTTAGAGAAGGAAAAAAAAGGATGATGATTTGGAAAAAATTCACACATAATCTCAAGCTGAATGCATCAGATTCACAGCAAACACCTCAAAGTGCAGCTCTCCCTGCAAATCTCATATTTAACACAAATCAGACCTCATGATTGATGATTGATTCATCTCTATCTATTATATTTATTTAAATTAATAAAAACTGCAGAAAAAAATAGGGTTTCCATCAACAGACCAGCTCAGTGGCGTATTGGTAGACTGGCCACCCTGAGAGATTGAGGTTCGATTCCTGGTCGGGTCATACCAAAGACTTTAAGAATGGGAACCAATGCCTCCCTGCTTGACATTCAGCTTTAAGGGGTTGGATTGGGGGTTAAACCACCAAATAGCTCCCGAGCGCAGCCACCGCTGCAGCTCACCGTTCCCCTCAATGGGGATGGGTCAAATGCAGAAATGAATTTCATCAGTGTGTGATGACGCCTATGGGACCTTAACTTTAAAACAAAACTAAAATCTATTGCTTTCAGCGCCCTCTGCTGACCAGAAACTGCACTTAACAGTTTTGTGGTTCGGGTAGGAACAGCGGTGGGACGGCAATAGCTGTTTACTGTAGCATCTTTGTTCTCTTGAAACTGGTTGGATGGCTGATGAAAAAAATAACAACATTTGACGCTAATTAATCTTAAAAAAAGATAAAAGCAAGATTAATAGCCTTTCTAGGGCAGGGCTATTCAGTTCCGGGCCTGGAGGCCCAGTGTCCAGCACGTTTTAGTGGTTTCTCTGGTCCAACACGCTATTCAGTGGCTGAATCACCTGTGCAGCAGCTCATCAGGCTCTGCAGTAGCCTGCTAATCACTTGCTGATTGAAACCAGGTGTGTTGAAGCAGGGTTGAAACTAAAACGTGCTGGATACTGGCCCTCCAGGCCCGGATTTGAATAGCCCTAATAGTTCCTTTTAGTCAGTGACTTCAGACCACATTCCTTTTATTGTGCTTATCTCTCGTTGCAAAGTACCATAAAAAGGCAATGATGTTAAAACTAGTAACTGTTCATTGGTGAGGATGTGCAACACCTTTCTGAACAAAACATGAAAACACACTAAACAGCAAAATGTACCTTCATCCAGCTTGACATGCTTATTAAACACTCAAACACACACACACACACACACACACACACACACACACACACACACACACACACACACACACACACACACACACACACGCACACACACACACGCACGCACGCACACATGCAGACACACACACACACACACACACACGCATGCACGCACGCACGCAGACACACACACACACACACACACACACACACACACACACACACACGCACGCACGCATGCACGCACGCATGCAGACACACACACACACACGCATGCATGCACGCACGCACGCACGCATGCAGACACACACACACACACACACACGCACGCACGCATGCAGACACACACACACACGCACGCATGCACGCACGCACGCGTGCAGACACACACACACACACACGCATGCACGCACGCATGCAGACACACACACACACGCACGCATGCACGCACGCATGCACGCACGCATGCAGACACACACACACACGCACGCACACACACACACACACACACACACACGCACGCACGCACGCACGCACGCACGCACACACACACACACACACACACACACACACACACACACACACACACACACCTTCTGATCACAGTCCCATTTTCTCTGACAGTCTCTGTTTCTACCACAGGAGGGAGTTCTGATCTGCTCAAACCACAGAGATAACCCAGTGCCTGGTGGTGTGATGGGGAGAAATGGAGACTTGTGAATATGAGTCTTTGTATGTCGATGAGACCCCCCCCCCCCCCCCCCCAAGGGGAAAAAAACTGGCACAGACAGTTTGCAATGATGCTTCTCAATATTAATAAAGTAAACAAAACAGTATAATGTGCTGTAATATTTGTAAACGTGACAGGAAATGACATCATACCATAAAACATTTAAAGGTGTTACTATAATAATGCGAGGAGGTAAACTTAAGGTAAGAATTGTTTTCAGGTGAATTTTTAGTTTTCCCTTCGCTAATTGAACAAGGTGGGACACCAGTTACATTCATCAATAAAAGTCACTGCTTTCGACTGTTTTTATTTTATTTTATATTCTTTATTAAACCCTTACTTAACCAGGAAATCCTTTGAGAACAAGTCTCTTTTGCAAAGGTGTCCTGTTATATAAGTATGCAACATATGAAAAGAAGATGTACAACACGAGATAAAAAGGAAACACTGGGCTCAAACAGAGCGAATATAACATGAGCTGGTGCATCCTTAAACCCAAAAAATTAGATTTTGGGTCCGTTCTTGTCGTATGTCCTCCAGCGAGTGGACCTCGTGCCCTGGCTTTCTTTGTTCCCAGGGGAGGGCAGACTGGACATGTTTTAGCTTTGTCTCTAATACACTCCAAAAAGGACCATGATTCAGTAGCTTCAGTAAACTAGATTTATATAGAAAAACAGATAATGGCACATAAAGCACATGCCTGGCCCCTGGTGGACGTCCAAAAGGCCACAAGCTCCTACATACATCATCCATACCATCGACCCTCCCACTAGGTGGACAGGGCATCCCTTTCAGTGGATCACTCTACTATGTGTAAAGCCGGGCATACACTGTGTGACTTTTTCACTTTTTTGAGCCGATTTTCCACTCGTGCGAGAATCCACAAGATCGGGGCGAGTTTTGCGCCGAGCGTCGTGTAGTGTACAGGGGGTTACGAGAGGCGATTAACACCACGTGACCAGCTACCGATCAGCAATCGTGAGCTCGCACAAACTTTTGGCGTGTTTAATATTTCGCTCGTCCCTCGTGAGGGTATCACACTGTTGAAGCGGCGCTGCGAGCGGCTGCGACCCAAAAAGTATCAGAACCGCTCACGGCGCATGCGCAATCCTGCATCAATGCCGCTCGCCCGCTATTTCCCTAATAACACACGTTGTTCGTTTTTGTTTCTACACGTTTTTTTACTCACAAAGATTGTCAAGAAAGCGTGTTTGTCGTGTTCATGTCAAATTAAACTGATCACAAAACACAGATTTACTTTCTTTATTTCGTTTTCCTCATCCAACCCCCATAAATCCCTGTGTGTCCTCCTGCAGCACTCCCGAAGGACAACAGGCAAGAGGAGACAAAAAAGTCTGACGTGTTGAGTAAAAACTGCTATTTTTAGCATATTTTTAGGGCCGACGTGGTGCTACCAGACGTACAGCGTGAGCAGTCAGGTTGCATGCGAGAACTGGGTCGTGCAGTGTGAGCGCCTGGCTCGTGAGATCTGCTCTGCGAGGAAGTCGTACAGTTTGAGCTGAAGCTGAGTGCTACGAGGGAAAAAGTCGCACAGTGTACGCCCGGCTTAACACTGTCTGTTTGCCACATCTCATCCTATAAGAAAAGATGTGAATCTCATTGTGCGTGATCTGATTGTAAGTAAAGTATTCACGACCTCATTACAAAATGCCCTATAAATCAGTGTAAATCCTGTATTTTTAGTTTTAAAAGGCCCTGACACACACACCGTGTCCCGGGTTTTTGGTTGGACTCATCTTGTTGAATGAATGCTGATAAAGAAGTTACTAACAAACCTGATTGAAGTCATCTTGGGCTGATGGGAGGTCAGTTGATAAAGATGCATCACCATGAGTAGTCATCGTTCGCTCACCCTCCACTAATGCTTTGTCGGTCCGACTGAGCTCACAGGAAGTAGCTGCTTGTTGACTGGATGAAGGGAAACCTTCATGTGTAGCAAATGTCACCTAGATCAACACAAAACCACATCTGTTAATCTATTCCATGGATTGTGGCAAACCTTATGGCAGGAGTGTCCAATCCTGGTCCTCGAGGGCCGGTATCCAGCACGTTTTCGTTTTAACCTGCTTCAACGCACCTGATTTCAATCAGCAGGTGATTAACAGGCTTCTGCAGAGCCTGATGAGCTGCTGCACAGGCGATTCAACCAGCTAACCAAGCGTTTTGAAGCAGAAAAACCACAAAACCTGCTGGTTACCGGCCCTCCAGGACCAGGATTGGACACCCCTGCCTTATGGTTTCTGATCTCTTCAGTAAAGGATGTTAATGACTATTCCGTACCTCGGTGTGGTCTCCATCACTTTTTATGACAGTCCTCTTCACCACTTTGGAGTACCTGTCTCCGTCTGCTGGAGCGAAGAACTCCTGCACATCTCCAGCTGACATCTCTTCACGCTCCACACCATCGGATGAAACACACTTGCGGATGACTTTTCGTGTAACCTGAACAACGTAAAGTGTGCATTCATAATATAAATGGCTACATGTCACACATATTAGGAAATAATTCATTTCAGCAGCAAAACAGCAAGATTATGGATTTTTTTTAAACACAATTTATTTAGCTGATGACCTGATTCAGATCAAGGAATAGACAACAGCAGTAATCAGCTAATAGAACAGGTGGGACTGGATGAGAAAAGAACCAATCAGAGTCCAGTTTACTGAGAGAAGAAGAAGAAGAAGAAAATATCATTTCTATAGCGCCTCTCAAGATAAAAATCACGAGGCGCTTCACAAAAACAAAAAATATAAAAAATTGTAAAAATATAAAAAAGCACTTAGAAAATGTTTAAAAATATATTTAAAATGAGCAAAAATAGACAATTGCAATTTAAAAGAAAAAATGTTAAGAAAGAGAGAGAGAGTGAACAGGAAAGAGGGAAATCAGTGGATCCTGAGGAAGGTGGAATAGGTGGGGAGAGCAGAATAAAGAGAGAGTGGTGAAGAAGGTCATACAAAAGCCAGCTTGAACAAGTGAGTCTTCAGCTGCTTTTTAAAGGAGACCACTGAGTCCACTGATCTCAGGCTCAGGGGGAGAGAGTTCCAGAGTCTGGGGGCCACAGCAGCAAATGATCTGTCACCTTTGGTCTTTAGCCTGGTGCTGCACAACCAGTAGGCTTTGATCACTGGACCTCAGGGACCTGCTGGGGGTGTAGGGACTAAGAAGATCACCAATGTAAGATGGTGCTTGTCCATGTAAGGCCCTACATCTGTGTCATCTGTCTCACTTTTGATTTGCCAGTGATAGACCGCGAGGGTAACTTTAACCGTGCGGAGACGAAAATTTGATATTAAGTTCAAAGAGAACGTGCTGATTATGCTGCAGAACACTCTGGGGAGCAGTAGCAGGGGTTGTATGAACTAGTCACTAGTCGACTTCACCGCTCTATAGTGACTTTTTATGCCTGTCATCGACTAGTCGCTGTCACGTGATAATGACCGGCAAGATGCAGTCCACGGAAAAGACAGCAGCCTGCTGTCAGCAGGTGACAAGCTCCTGCGCGTCGGGAGGCAACACGCTGTGCCAGAGCGTCGGTACTGACACCCGCCGTAAAACGGACATTTAACCTAATTGTGACCTTTACCCTCTTGCAATTTAACCTTCCCCTCACCCCCATCCTAACCTTAACCAGCGTGTGCATGCAAAGCTCTAATTGTTGACGCGCTCCAGACATCTGCGTCCTGAGCACGGCCACAGTAACATTATCAGATCAGGTGTCGCCACCTCAAAAACTAATTTAACACACAATCGTTCATGTCGGCTCATTTCCTTTTATGTTTTCTGTCTTTTATTCTTTTATTTGTGCCTGATGCGTTTCGCTGCTGTGGATCGGGGCGCATCACCTGTTTTGTCCTCGGTGACGCACCTAACTGATGTGGCCACCAAGCACTCCGCTGTTTTTGCGGTCGGTAGATCTTTTAGAACTGCAGTTCAAAGGTAACTCATAAGGTGAATATATATGAACCCAGGTTGCAGTTTCTCTTTAGGATTGAGAGGAGATGCAGGAAGATAATAAACAGGCAGGACAGAAAAATAGTCAAATAAAAACAAATTAGTTTTTGTACCTGGTGGTTGCAACAAACAGACACCATTGAAGGTAATCAGAAGTGAGGAACAGAAAATGAAATAATTATTTTAATGTTTAGAGCAGCAGGAACTCTGAGAGGCTGCAGGCGCATCAGTGAGTTTGCGGCCGCTGCACAGGGGGAGGGGGGAGAGGGCTGAAGCAGAAACTACCGTTGTTAAAAGAAATGTGTTTAACTTTGAAAATGTGGGCGCAATTTTAATTGTCAAAAACTCCAGCGAACCATTAGTTCATTTTGCTCAAATATAAATAGAGGCCTGCCTCTAATTCTGGTCCTCCTTCCAATAAAGGCCTGGAGCTTGATGAGCTTGAGTCAAATACAGGCCCGGGCCTGTATTAGAGGATTTACGGTAAGACTAAAACTAAAACAAATTGGATGACTAATGCTTGACTAAAATAAGAAAATTTTAGTTAAAAGACTAAAACTAAATAAAAATTATTGTCAAAATGATCACTGCAACAGCCAAATGTTCTGTCTTTATTATAAATCTGATCCTAAAGGGAGAATAGGCAGTTTAGGCTTCCTTTTAGCACCCCCTAGTGTCCGTTTTGTAGAACCAAGCGCCAAACCGAACCATGTGTTTGTCTTTTAACACCTAAATCCAACAGCTGAAATGTCTCTTCAGCCTTCCTTAAAGCAGTGATTCATCACTAAAATAAAAAAAAAATCAACTGTATTGATGATCTAAAACATGCAGGAACAGCACTGGAAGCAGACTGCAGTGTCACGCATGTCAGTTCCATTTTTCAACAGACCGGACCGGCACTCTGAAGTTGCACGTGGGATATTTTGGCCACAGAGGGCGGTGGGGGGTCCAAGTAACATTTCATTAACCCTGTAAAGGGTCATTTTAGCACACACTGGCTCAAGAAAATGATTTAAAAATGATGCAAAAAGCTGCATTTTGCTATTTTTTAATGGATGTCATATTTTATTGAGTTTGATCTTGATTATAAATCATATTACGTGATTTATTTAATTACCATTCATCAGTAGTTCGCTTTGGACAAAAGCATTTGCTAAATACATAAACGTAAACATAAACATCTGACGATGATTTCAAACTAATCTGGGCTCTAATTGTGCTGCATTTGTTAGTACAGTGATCCCTTGTTTATCGCGGTAGATGCGTTCCAGACCTGGCCGCGATAGGTGAAAATCCGCGAAGTAGGGACACCATATTTACAGTATTTATTTAACAGGTACGTATTCAGTATTCAGACTTTTAAAACCCTCCCTTTACATGGTACTGTTAACAAACCACCCTTTAATGTACATTTTATGATGAAATTGATGAAAAAAAATCAGGAATTTCTTGATATTTCGATATTCCGTGAATCGGTGAAAAATAACGCGAACTGGCGAATTTCCCTTGAATAAGGCTCCAAAGAAAAAATCCGCGAAGTCGTGAATCCGCGATAAACGAACCGCGAAGTAGCGAGGGATCACTGTATACAAACAATGAGGGAAACAAAATGTTTTAACAGCATCTACAGAGTCTGGCGTTACCCTTTTGATGACTATGTGTCCGTTTTCGTCCTTGTACCTCTCCTCACTCACTAACTGACTGGGGAGGTCAGGCATTTCATCAGCCTGTAAAGGAAAACAAAAGAACCAGACATTATAGTTTGTTCATCTTTCATCAATGATCACATTTAGATGAACACACGTTAGAGAGAAAGTACCACACAGAATGAGAAATGAGGAGTTAGGGAAACAGCTCAAAGACACTCCAGGGGTCAGTTCTGTCAAATAAATCAGCAAAAGCGTGCTCACAGCAGCATAAAACACCCGAGGAGCTTCAGCCAGGCAGGTTACTCGTTTAACCGCACACTTACTCGTTCTAACAGGACTAAACTCAGTTAGCTGAGAGACAGAGAGGAGTTTGTTTTCGTGCTACATCCGAACACCATGCTAAGACCAATACCTGAATGACAACTCTCCTTCGTATTATTCTGGTGGTCAAAAACTCATCATCTGAACTTTCTGACATGGACCCGAGCTCTGCGGTGATCTCCTGACCAGGCGACACAAATGTGTTCAGACAGGATGAATTTGCAGCAAAGCAAGCTGAGGACAGAGCAGAATGGTGCACTTTCCAATGTGAAATTTCACATTACATCGGAAGGTCCAGCATGAAACTCAGTGGATGGAAACGGCTGTTGGAAAACACATCATGCTTTTATTTACTGAAATAATTATCGCACTTATTGCTAAGTAAAAAGAGGGGAAAGCGTGTGGCCAATGTCGTTGCTGAGCGACACGGCTCATTCCAAGCAGCAAAGTGACATGCTGAGTTAGAAATAAAATCCTGGGTGTTAACTTTTAAATCCAATCCGTTTGGCCAAAAGGTTAGCAGACATTCAGGAACAGTCAGTGGTAATGCTCAGCCCTGGAGGAAAACCTTGCAGAATTTTACCCGGCCCCATCTTACCCTCCTCAGAGATTTGACAGTATCATTTGTTTCAGGAAGTTGTGACGTTTTGCTCATAGAGTATTCTTCTTCTGATGCTTCCCTCTTTTCGTGCACAAGGTGATGATAATCAAGAGCTAAAGGGGCATCTTCATAGTCTTCGCTCCCAGAAGACAGCAGCATTTTCTGACTCGCCTTTTTCTGCCTTCCACTGTGGCTCAGCTCATCTGGGATCTGACCTTCCTTTAATCTCGCTGTAATATCAGCTCCATCAAGTTCAGGCTCTGAAAAATCAGAGACTCCTTGTTTGCAGTCGAAGTACGACTCCAGGTCAGAATGTTCAAAGTCTGCAGGCCTCTTAGGGGTGTGGACGTGGTTATCGGAGTCAGAGGAAGTCTCTGCTCTACCAAGTGGAATGCTGTACTCCTCATCGGAAGTCATCTCAGGTGTCTGTTGGAATAAAGACGACTGAGAGGCAAACCCCTCAAAACCAACAGGACTCAGGTTTTCTTCAGCATGCCGCTCACAAGTTCCTGGCCTAACTTCATCTGAAGGTACCTCTGGGCTCTGAGAGGATCTGTATGGGATCATCTCCTCAAAGCTGAGATGTCTTGCAGATGTGACTGTACCAGGAGTAAAATCAGACTGGGGTGACACTGATTCAGGACAGGTTTCCCATAAATCCTGATCTTTGTAGATCCGTGCAGATGTTTTTGCTGTCGCACTCTTTGAGTCAACATGTTGGGTAGGTAAGCCTGGCTTTCCCTGACTTATAGGAATACTGCTTTTAAAATCTCCCCCAAAAGTAGACATCAAAGTCTCGCCAGGCGTGGAATCTTCAGCGGCATTCACAGCCTGCTTGAACGAGCTCAGAGATGGTTCAATTTGGGAAGAGTTGGAAGCAGAAAGCATTTCCGTAGGTAGAGTTATCGCTTCATGGTTAGCGTTTTGAATTTCAAAAGCACCTGCTGCAGCCACCTCTGTTCTGCTTTGACTTTTTTCTGTTGGAGACTGATCCTCAGGTGAAAGCTCTTCAAACATATAAGCTTCCTCCTCTTCAGAGCTTTCGTCAAAAGGCTCGGAGAAAGGGGAGTCAAGTGTCTCTGGTCTAAACTTGAGTTTCATCTCCTTTAAATCAGACAGAAGCTGATCCAGCTGAGGAGAACCAGATCCCGGTGAAGTTGGAGGGGAGTCAGAAGATTTTCTGGTGACTACATTTGAACTGTCTTGGATTTCTTGCTTCACTACTCCAGAGTCTTTGGTTTGTCCTCGCAATTGGAGCCGTTCTTCTTCTGTTAGTGATGAGCTGCTTTGACCAGTCATTTTGACGTCAGGTTGTGTATTAATGAAGTCCAAGGTAGCTGGAGGAGGTAACTCTAGTTTAGCTGCCATTAAATGTGTCTCAGGTGGTAAACCGTGACTTAGTCCTAAGGCCACATTTTCCCCTTTTGGTGATTGAGAAAGATTTATCTTGGAAGATGCAGATGAAACCTGAAAGAAATGATACAATGGGATGGAAAAAATAAAACATTTTACAAATAAAAATGGTGACCGGTGAAAATAAGTAGGTTTAAGTGAAACATGCTTTTTTTCTTGAAACTGGTCAATGTTTCAAGTCGGTCCAGAACCTTTAGCCCATGCATACATGTGAGTATTAGGATAATATTAACATTTACAGGCAGATTACAAAGGCATGAACGTAAAATTAAACATTGACCTCAATGAATAATCGGTCTTTGTCAGATGACACATCGGGTGCTGTAGAGCGTTGCATGATGGGGTAGCTGGGTGTATGAACAACAGAAGCATCGGTCTGTGTGTGTGTGTGTGTGTGTGTGTGTGTGTGTGTGTTTGTGTGTGTTGTGAGTTTCTAAGCCTGCAGAAACTGGTACACTCGTGTTGTGTGAAGGGCTGCTATGCCAGGTCACACAATTACGAGAAGCAAAAACTTGATAACGACATAAGATTTTTCCGGTTTCCTGATTGGAAAATAGGTGTTGGACGTGGGCCGGAAGGAATATTACCAAACCGCATCTCCCCACATGTGTGTTTGCATGCAGCATTTTCATAAAGGCAATTTTCTTGTAAGCGATCTGACTGAATGTCTGTTTTTGGGCTATTGGGCTATTTCTCCCAAACCTGGGCCAAACATGGAGGGCAGCTGACTGCAGAGGGGGTAGTCATTTACGTAGAAAAGCCTTTCTTCTGCTTCAAATTTATTATGTTTTTTATTTTTAGAATTTCTTTCTTTTTAGTCTTTAAAATACTATAATTCGTCCACGACCTTATGTTTTTGTCTGAAAGATGACATCATTTGAAAATGATCAGATCTGATGTTACTGAATACTCAAATAGTGTTTTCACTAAATATTTTTTACTGCTAGTGGAGTAGTGTTTTTGGACGGCTACTGTTTTATGTTGAAGTAGTGCTACGCTTACTCAAGTAATTTATTTTCTGCAGTAATGAAACATCAGAGCTCCATTTGTTCTCTTTGAGGTCGTAGGGATCTACGCTGTCGATTGTAGACAATCTATAAAAAATCGATTCCTAGCCTCCTTGACAAGTTTATCCCTATAAGAGATGCTTATGTCCTTGTTCTATTTATCCATCTATCCATTTGACTCTTGTGTGCTGCTAGAACTTCAGCTGTGGCTTCCCCTAGCAACGCCAGTCATACACTCAAGATGGCGGCATGGAGGTGTGGTTGACAGGCAGGTCACCCGTCTGACAAAGGCCGATAAATGATAATGAAGCTGAATTTGAAGGTGAAATTGTTTTCATTAGAGTTAAGAGATGAGGCCTGCTTCTTGGAGCCCCCGGTCCTGAGACTGAGTCGTGGTCCTTTTTAACCCTGACCCTCAATGCCAACATGCAGGACAATAAAGCCGTTGTTAGATGCCAGGGAAGCACCTAGATTACTCACAGCTTTTACAGTACCAAGCAAAAGTTTCAAACTTATCCTGATTTCATCACATTTTCCTCCCAAAGAGCCACATTTCTGCAACAGGTTTGTGTTCTTGCTCAATAGATTTTTAGGGTCTCTGAGGGGGTTTGAAAAGTTTTCCTCATTACTCGAGATACCCCCCCCACAAACAAAACAAAAACAGCCAAAGAACCCGCCCCCCATAACCCAAAACAAAAGGCCTTCAGAAAGGATGCAGAGCAATTACAAACATTTTTAATAATTAAATAAGGCTCATTTGTAAGAAAATTATAAAGAAATGAGGGACTCCAGATAGGGCTGCTCAATTAATCGAATTTTAATCACGATTACGATCTGAGTTTTGAACGATTATAAAAAACAAAACAAACCGATTATTTGCTCCTCCCGCTTGCGCTGCCCTGAGTTGCAAATGAAGCGCTCCTCCCACAGTGTTGACAACTTAGTGACTGTGGCGCTATTTCTAGCAGCTTTTCAGACCCCCTTCTTGACTTTTTAACTTAAAAGTACCTAGCGAACACCTGAGAAACATCTCTGGTAACCCTTAGCTACTTTCTGGATAACTGTCGTCGACGTTTCCTGCAGGTTAGCTAAACACTCCGCCTGCGCTCCGGACCGTTCTTCAGGACATTAGGAAAGGGAATGATGTAGTGATGTGTCAGTCGCTAAAGAAACAGCTCTCGGAGCCGGCTCCTTGTTGGATTAACCAGAGTGAGTGACACACACACACCGCACCTGCGGACTCCTGAGCCGCTAAAAATGGCTAAATGTGCGCGTGCGGCGTGCTAAACACACGTGCAGCTTGCCCCGATTGCTGTGAGACCGGTTTGGGGGGTGGGGGGTGCAGCTGTGGTTGGGACAATTATTACATTAACTGATGGACTTGTAAATAAATAGTTTATAAATAAGGTAGAAATAAGTTCCTCACGCTGATAAATAATAACTAATCTCTCTGAGGACACGGTGCTAGTGCACTCCTACAGCACCTTGACACGACTAAATACGTATTATGCAACATTTTGTGAACATCAATTAATTTGCATTTATTTGTTATAAATGCCACTGTATAATTCTTGCTGACAGTATTTGCAAGATAATGCTATTTGGGTCTGTACTAGTTAGACTTAAATGAGTTAAACCAAACCCTTGGGTCATAAACTATGAGCTATAAGTATATTGGTCTTTTTATACTGGGAATCAGGAGTTATTTTAGTGATCATCTTGTTTCTTATTTTTGTCCTGATTGTGCCCTGAGCAATTTATGACTGAATAAAAACAAATAAAATCAACATAAATTGAAAAATCGTCCTAAATAATCGTGATCTCAATTTCAGTCACCATAATCGTGATTATTATTTTTGCCATAATCGAGCAGCCCTAACTCCAGACTTTTGCATAGCACTGTATGACAGCCTTGTCACACCCTACGAAGCTTCTGAAACCAGCACAGCACCCACAACAAGCAAGAGCTTGTGCTGTCTTACCGACACCAAGGATTCTTTTGGATGTCCGTGGACATCTCATCATCTTTGAACATCTCGAAAACAAATCTTGAGCAGGTAATCATGAGTTCACGCACTTTGGTTCATGTACCGGGGGTCTTTAACTCATCGAACCTTCCCTTGCTTGGTCTTTAGCTTTGACAGCATGAGAAAACCGCTTTTTGTTTCTTCAGATGGCAAAAAATTTAACCCGCTGCAAAACTGATTGATGAAGGACGGCTTGATAAGATTTACTTTTACACATTTTAGTGTTTAAGGAAGAGGCCAAACAGAAAAAAGGTCATTAGTGTTGGACAAAGAATAAACAACCCCAGTTTGAGTTTAGTGGTTTTCAGTCACTGATTTCTTCTCTTCTTGAAAAGTTCCAGGGCAAAGGGAGCATTGAGATATATTATATATAGTATTATTTCCCCGAGACAAACCAACATCATTACAAGGTAAGACGTTTAAGGTTTTGTTTTAAAAATAGAAATTCTAAATATGTAGCTAAAAATTAAAGACAGACTATTTATTCTCAATTACATTTCTATTTCCTGTCACATTTTGGTTTCAGAAATTCTTTGTTTCTAGTGTTTGAAAATGCCCCTTACTGTAACGGCACAATAAGCAAAATGAGCATAGAACCACCCCTCACCTATCAGTGTTTAGGGAGGCTCTGGATGTGGAGGAGCAGCAGCTCTACTCCAAACCCCTCCTGAATCTACAAGATATCCAGCAGCCTATCAGGGGATGGGTGGGCGTGGCCAGCAATTGTTTATTTATATTCTAGTGACAGAGCCCTGAAATGGCTCATATGTAAAAGGTAATGAAATTTTCAACAATAAAGCAGGTGCGATCGAGTGATTTTGTGCCAAGAACTTTGTGAATGTATAAACCCTACATCTAATATAACTTGTTTAAAAATACTGATTTTTTCTTGAACCTTGCAGTGTTTTATGAAGTTTATTTAGATCAAATCTTTATCTTTAGGTATTACACACCACTCTTTATTTGAAAATCCAAAATTACAAGCTTAGAGATTATGCTTCATGTCTAACTGGATGCTCACATAGACTCTCTTTATGCTCTAATAATTCATATGTTTTAAATACTAATGCTTTAAACTATGAATTGAAGGTCTAATTGCCTAACTATGCAAATCACAGAAGGTAAAAGCTGTTTAAACATAATTATTAAAGCACAGGTCACAAAATAAAAGAATAGATGAAACCGAAAACCTAAAGTATGTTTTTAATGTACTTTGTATGGATGTGATCACAGACATTTTCTTGTTGTTTCTACGGGTTTAGGAAGGTTAAAGTATTGCTGTGATTTTAAAAGTGTCCTCCAATAAATATGTCTAATGTAAAGCCAAGATAAAGATCCTTTAGGTCTGAACGCAGGACAAATCAGGTGTTCTCAATCCACCGTACATTTCCCCACTAACATGTTTTAAAGGGATTTCATTTGGATTTTAGACTTGTGGAAACCTTTTGGGAAAGCCACGGTTTGCTGATGTGAAAAAAAGAATAAAAATAAAAACTGACAAAACTATTTCAAGGTGAAAAATATGAAACCATTTAGAAAATGTGTTTCTGAAATGTGTTTAATCAAGTACTGACTTTAACTGGGTGTTTTGAGAAGGTCTTAAAAGATGAGGAGAACACTGCTTCTTGTATAGTGGATCATACAACCCAGCCCTTCTTTCCACAAGACAGGTTGCATCGCAAAATAGCCGCAAACTGTACTCCGTTGGAGTTAGCCGCCATAGTGGATGGGTCTCCCTCCACGTTTTGGACGCGTCCCAGCAGCAAAGGGACACTATCATTACGTTTCGAGTATTTTTATGTGCTACACTTCCAAAACACGGAAAACTCTGCAGTTTAGATCAGGCCAGGAAGGAAGTAAAACAAGAAGCAGTGTAAAATATCTGAGAACATTCAGAATAAAAGTCTAATGCAGATATGCGTATGTCATTTCCTGTTAAACCCCTGTAGCAGAGGTAAACAGAACAGAAAATAAGCCACAGACCTTTTTGGACTCATGAAGCTTCTGTTCTCCTTGCTTG